AATTAACAGATGTAAAGTGCTTTTCAAACCTTAAAATGCTATACAAACGCTAGTAGTGACAGGGTACAGGCCCAAGCCGAGACCTTTGTCTCTTACCCCAAAAAGAATTTGGGTCTTCAGGCTCTAGGGAACCTCACCTTGGACTCTCCTTGAATTCTCCGGGTTTGCCAGAGGTTATAATCCTATTAACTAGCCTTTCATTATGTCCAATCTCTGAATTCTCTGTTGCCCTTAATTTAGCCCAGCCCTCTATTGTCAGTTACCTCAGGATGGCCCAGGTCACTTCTCACCCTTGATCCTATCTAGACCCCATTCTCTTTGACCTTCCAGTCACTCCCATCAAGAGACTCCTTAAACCCCTCCTCCAGTCACCTGAGATTACTTGGTCACTCCTAGATATCCCTCCCACAGCCTTTCTGTATGTAAGGTCCATCTTGTCTCCATTTAGGTGCTTAGATTCTTAAAATCTAGCCACAGCTTAGATTCTTAACATCTGGCCCGATTGCATTAGTGATACAAATGGTTAGGTTACTTAAGAGTCTGTCCAATATGACAGATGGTCTAATAAACCTTGTTTCTGGCTGAAAGAAGGCTTGGGTTGAATTAATTTAGGCAGGACCCAGGGGTTGTGATTTTGGCATCCCAGCCAGCACCCCAAAACCTCTAAAACTCAACAGTGCCCCCACAATCTGGGAAATCTACCTAAAATGTTTTGGCCCTCCCTTTGTACCAGAAAAGATTTCTGAATTATTATTGTATTAAAAGATAAAATACATTGATATTATACAATACTATACATATATTTTATGCAGTTCTGAGTTTCCAAACTTTTTCCATGTCATCTGTTGGCTTTGTGTCTGTGGATTTTGCAGAACTCCCCAAAAATTAACATTTAATTTCTTATGCCAACCTATTTTGAGAGCACAGAAAGGGAAACTGGAAAAGGAGTGGAGGAATCGAAGGTTCCAGTGAGAAAGGAGGAGATGATGGCCCTAGTACAGATAGCATAGTGAACAGATGGTAAACAGTAGGGTGAAAGCTTAGTTCTGGGCAAGACAGGGCAAAAATTCACCTTTTCTTAATATGATAAATAACAATATTTAATAGAAGGGCAGTATTAGTGTAGTAGATAAAGAGCTGGCCTCAAGGACAGGAAGACCTGAGTTCATGTCTCACCCTAGACTTATCCTGACTACATCAACCTGGGCAATTCTGTCAGTCTTCTAGAGTAAAAATGTTAAACATATTGTGACCTGCAACAGTCCAGGTGCTGCCCAAATCAGAGTAAAATATAATTGGGAAATATTTAACAAAATAAGTAAAAGTTCAATAGGGCACAGATAAAGTTAATATGTGCTTTTCTAAGTACAGTTTTGTGGCTCCCATTTTTATTTGTGTTTGACACCACTGCATTAGGCAACTCCTTCTAAAGCAGAAAATTGCAAAGAAGGGACTACCTGTATCTTGGTAAAGGAATTTTTTCACTCAGCAGTTCCCTATACCAATAAAACCAATCCCTAAGCCTATCCCTTGCAGCAAAAGAAAGCTTTAGATATAATAGAGAAATGCTAAAGGCCTTTCCATTAAGAAAAATTAAAGCAAAGATGTCCATTCTCACCACAATTAATTTATGTAATTCTAGAAATGCTAGCTATAGCATTAAGACAAGAAAAAGAAATTGAGAGATGGGTTAAGAAGAAACAAAATTATTACTTTTTTCATATGATATGATGGTATACAAAGAGAACCCTAGAGATTCAACTAAAATTCATTGCAAAAGTTAATAACCCCAGCAAAGTAGCAGGATATAAAATAAACCCACAAAAATAATCAGCCTTTCTGTGAATTACCAATAAAACCAAAAGGAAGAGATAGAATGAGAAATTCCATTTACAATAACTGCAAAGTGTAGGAAATGTATGTGGGTTCACTTACTATGATACACATAGGAATTACATAAACACACCTACAAAAAAGTGCTTTATGAAAATAAAGACAGGCCTACGTAATTGGAGATATAAATTACTCATGGTTTGGTTGTGCCAATATAATTATAAGACAATACTACCTAAATGAATTCACTTATTTTAGTAACATATCAATCAAACTGCCAAAGAGTTATTTTATAGAGCTTGAAAAAAATAATAACAAAATCTGGAGGAACAAAAGATCAAGAATCTCAAGGGAAATAATGAAAAAAGAGGTGTGGGGTTAACAGGACCATTTCTGTAGTATTAATTATTAGAGCTATTTTGGTATCAGTTTTAAAAAATGGAAAAGTAATCAGTGGGCTAAATTAGGAATGTAAGATCCAGAAACAAATGAACATAATAGCATAATGCCTGATGAACACAAAGAACATAACTATTCAAATAAGTACTAAGTGTTTGGCAAAATCTGCTGAGAAAATTGGAAAATAGTTTGGCATAAATAAAGTTTAGACCAACAACTCACAACGTATATCATAATCAACTCCAATGGTATAAATAACACATATATGTGTATATAAAATTGTTTATGATGTCACATATTAGACTATATAATCTGCAGAGAAGATGGTAATACATCTTTAATTTCATTTCTAGTGATAAAATCATATCTGTTTCTGATGTTGAACCATCTGACAGTGCCAAGAGCTTTCTTTTCTGGGTTTTTCCATCATTGTGGCTGCTGACGAGGCAGAATATCAGCAGAAGCCCTTGCCAGGTCACATCTCCATAAGATAATTACTCCCTAGGTTGACAGCTAAAGGGGCTGTGATGGAGGCAGGTCCAGTGGTCAATGGGATATTACCATTCCTAGAGCTTTTGGGCTTAGATACTCATGAGTGGAAGTTGACTGGCAGTAGGTTTTGGTAACCACAAGGAAGGTAGGGCCTTCTCCACAGTGACTGATCTCCTCACTGATGGCTACAGAACCTGGGCTGGAAGGAGGATGGATAGCTTGAGGGGCATTGCTATCTCAGGGTCTTGAGGTATCTCCATGGAGATAGGAGGGGAGGCAGTAGAAGTGATAGTCATGGTTTGTTGAGTCTGGCATTTGCTTGTATTGTGGTTTGTCCTTCATTTGAAGAAGACATTAGGAAGATGATGCCATGACTTGAAAATGAATTGGTTTTAAGTGAGGGAGGACTATGCAAAGTCACCAGCCTCACTTTCTCCTCCAGAGCCATCTGAGTCCAAAGGCCAGATATAGATTGGAAGACTAGAGATGGCCCAGGATGCAGTGGGAGACGTTGGCCTTTTTAAGTTAAGATCTTTCCAAGTTCTCATTTTGACTGAGGCAACACTCATTCAATGATTAGGCCTATTGAAGAAGAGAGCCAAGGAATGGCCCCTTTAATTAAAAAAAAAAATCAAACTGTCAGGGGAAGATCCTCAGGGTTTCTGGCCAAAAGAAAAATAATTTCTATTTGCATTCACTCAGAGCCATCAAGGCCCAAAAAATAACCATTAAGTTCTACTTGGGCAGAGACCTATTGTTGTCCAGTCAATGAGAGCTAAAATGAATTGGGTTTAAGGCAAGGTCTTTAAGGATGAAAAGTAGCCATCAACCTCCCATACCTCCTTTAAACTGAGCTAGCTTATCTTCCCCTGAGGCAGAAGTTTGTAGGCAGTTGGTAGGGATGATTGGCCCCTTTTCCACGGAATTTACTTTCTTAGATAATGATTAAGGGGACAGAGCTACCCTGTCTGAGGGGATGTTGCTATTCCCAGAGTTCTTTGATCTAGTTGCTCATTGATATCAATTGATTAGAATTTGGCTTTGATGGTGGTAAGGAAGGTAGGTCCATGTTTTATAATGATTAATCCCTTCCATGTAGGTTCTAAGTAGGGTCAGTAGTCTGGAGGGCCTTGCTCTTCCCAAGGCTCTTTTATTCAAAGCCATAGGATAATTTTACTGAGGTCTAAGGGAAGGTGGTGGTTACAATAATGCTAGTAGCTTGACTTGCCTGCTTTGCCTTCCACATAGTGTGCAGCTGGTTGTTTTTACCATATCATTCCAATAAATACCTTGGCTTTGAGTTAATTGTATCTACTGGCTGACAATTAAAAGTAAATGCATTAGTGGGGTATCATGAGCCATAGTTTTTGGCTGTGTGGAAGCACTGAGTTCTTTGAACCCTATGTAATTGCTCCCCTGGTAACCAAACATTTGATTGGGAACTAGAAGGCAGCCCCTGAGAAGATGCTATACTTAAATTGAAACTATAATGACTAGAAATTCATTGAGCAGTTGTTCTCCATCCCAGCTGAGAGCAGGATGCCAACAACTTCATTTGCAGCATGAGAAATTCAGGTTAGACACTAGGGAAGTATTCCCATGGGGCAGGATTAGTATAGTCAAGGCAGTGCTATTCAGCAGAAAAGAGCCCTAAATTTGAAATCAGGAGACCTAGGTTCTAATCTCTGTTCTGTCAATATTACATTTCATGCCATTCCATTCCACAAACATTCATTAAGTGCCTACTGAATGCAAGTAACTGTGTAATTCAATTACTACTGAATGCAAGTAACAGTTACAAAGATAAAAAACAAAACAATTCTTGCGTTCAAGAGTTTTACATTCTATTGAAATGTCCTCTGTGTCTCTTATCTACTACTAAAACCCATGATTAAAGTAAAAAAAAAATCCTCTCTGTATGACCTAGGCAAAAATATTTTCTGTCTCTGGTCCTCAGTTTCTTTGTCCATGAAACAAAAGGATCAGACTAAATGATCTCTAAGATTCCTTTCAGTTCTTAAGTCCTATGAGCCTATAAAACTGCCCCTTGAGTATCCCACCTCCCCATAGGAGGGACCCATTATGTGTCTGAGCTGACCATGACGAAGCCCTGGCCGGAGACATACAGTGGCTCTGAGTATAGGGACTCAAGCAGCAGCTTTTTTTCTCCTCTCTAGTCTCCTGCACTAGGGCAAAGGATGTGGCAGGGGTGGGGGAGGTGGGATCTGTGAGAGCATATTTGTATGACTTCTCTCATTTCCGCTTCCCCTTCTCAGTGGCACTGGTGACAGCTACTGAATGAGGACAGACACAGAGGCAATACACATACCATGACCTTCAGCTGCCGCCTTGAACTTGGCACCTACTCTGGGGAAGGTGTGGGACCCTCCTCCCCAGATCCCCTTCTCTCTGATCCAGTTTCCTCCCAGAGGACAGGTGAGTGCAGTCTTTTTGAAAGACTGTTTGTGGTTTTACCTATGTTGAGCTGGGTAAGGTTGATTCTGGAGGGAGAAAGGAACTGAGTTTTAAGGTATTCTTGAGGAAAGGGGAGGGTCAAAATAAAGAACACTACCTCATGCTTTACCCCTTCGAATCATATAGGCAGCTTAGGCGGCTCAGTGGATAGAGCCCTGGGCCTAAAGTCATGCAAATCTAAACTCAGATGTTTGCTAGCTGTGTGGCCCTGGACAAGTCACTTTAACCTCTATTCCCTCAGCGGTAAAATGGGTATAATAATATTTTGCACCTGACTTTCAGGGTTATTGTGGGAACATAATAAGATAATACCTGTAAAGTGTTTTACAAAGCTTAAAGCACTATAGAAATAATAGCTATCAGTATTACCATGATACCTAGAACTGATAGGAATCTTGAGAGGCCATTTTATTCTTTCCTCTTTCTCTGAGAAGGACTATCACCAATAGAAAATGATTTCTCTGACTCCTCAAGATTTTCAAGGAAGGAAGAAGTAAAGGAGGAATGAGCATTTATATGGCACCTGCTATGTGCCAGGTACTGTGCTGTGTTTTTTTGTTTGTTTTTAACAAATATTATCTCATTTGACCCTCACAAAAACCCTGCAAGGTGGGTACTATTATAATCCCCATTTTACAGTTGAGGAAATTGAGGCAAACAGAAGTTAATTGACTTGCCTAGGGTCACACAGATAGTAAATGGCTGAGGCTGGATTTAAGCTTAGGTTTTTCTGACTGCAGGCCCAATACTCTATCTGTTGTAGCACCAGAGATCTCATGGACTCACTGGCATTTAGCACCTCTCCCAGCTGGTTGTTTCTTTGAATCTGGCCCCTTATGGTCATTATCTACTATGAAATGTTTCCAATGGGTATCGATTCCCAAATTTGATCTCTAACCTATTGGAAAAGGTAAAATGAGCTTCCTTTTGCTTTAGAGTTAATGAAACTATTCATTCTGAAGTGATTTCAGAGAGATGCTGAGAATAAGAAGTCCCATTCCAACTGTCACTATAAGGTGCTTGCAAAGACTCAGGGAGTTCAATAGGGTATGCACTGTTGTCCACATTTCTATATTTCACAGGTGAGGGAACTGGGCCTTGGAGAAGCAAAGTGATTCTCCATGGTCACATAGCTAGTGAGACTCAGATCTGAGAATGTTTGGAAATAACGTTAAGATACAACAAGAGATATTGGAGTTTTATATTAGGGAGGATGTAGATGAGACTGAAATGTAGAACTGGCTATGGTGAGGTCTAAGAGGACCTGCACCTGTCTGGACTAGGGTGTGAACATGTTAGCTTAGAGGTGAGGGTCAGGAGGAGAGATTGGGGGAGGTGGAAAGATCTGCCCACTGGAGTTTCCCAGAGCCCCAGCTGTGACCCTGGGGAGTGGAGGAAAATGAAACCCCTAGGAGTGAATAAAGGGAAGATAAGGGACCAGGGAGATCCCTAGGGGGTGGCTTGAAGAGTTTGTGGGCACAGAGGGGAGACCCCAGGAAGCCCCACTGCCTCTATCTAACAGATGTGACTCCCCATAGTGGAGAGAAGGGGTTGCCCCCTTTGGCCAGAGAAGGTGCCCCTTCACAAAAGTGTGCCTGAGATGGAAGTCTGTTGTCTTCTGTCCTGACAGCACATGCTTTATGCCCTTATGCCAGGCTACTTGAGGATCTCCAGCAGTCAAGGAGGGTTATTTGAGCAGGGGAAAGAGCGTGTAGTTGTCATCTATAACTACTGATACATGTTGAGACTGTAGCAAGAATGCCAGAGGAAAGGCATGAGCAAGGCTTTCCAATCCCCAGTGTTGTGAAGCGCAGGCAGCCAAAGCCAAATCATAAGATTTAAAATTAGAAGGGATTATCAAGTTTATTTACTCTTCTTTCCTCCCTTCATTTTAGAGGTGAGGACTCTCCTTCTTCAAAGGTGGTAACTATAGGCTGTATCCTTGCCTAAAGCCTTGCCAGGGAGATATATCTACTTCTTAGAGCACCTTCAAGGTCAATTGAAGTGGCCTCCAACAAGCATGGGAAAAATGGAGAGGAAGATAAGCCCTCTCAGGGGGAGGAGGACCTGCTTCTATTTGGGCACCTGACATTTCGCCCTGCTTTCCATTCAGGAAATAGGGGCCCCATGGTGAGATTTCCAGCCCTCCCCTTCTCTACTTTGCACCCGTCCGCATAGAACAAAATGGCCCTGGAGAAATCGGGGGCTTTCATTCAGCAAGACTGAACCAAGGAGAGGAAGGAGCTAAAGACAATTAGAAAGAAAGGGGAAGGGAAAGAGAAAAAGGAGAATAAAAAGAGAAAGAAATGAAAATGGAGAGAAGTCTAAAATGGTCACCATTTCAATAAGTGCGGGACACAGCTTGGCTTAATGTGTGAAGGGGTTAGAGATTGGGTTGGGAAAGAGGGAACTGGGAGTTTGCTCCTTAGTCCCTGGGTAGATAAGCAGGTCTCAATTATCCTCTCAAGCCACAAAGACCTCACAGAACCCTGGACAAACCTACTTTGAGAGCTCTCTCATCACTGCCCACTCATAATCCATCTTCAACACCTTGGTTAAGTTATTTAAACTATTTGCCTCAGTTTCCTAAACTGTAAAATAGGAATAATAATAGCATTTACCTTTCAGGGTTATTGATCAAATATTGAGGATCAAATAAAGTAATTTTTGCAAAGCGTTTAGCAATACCTGGCACTTAGTAAGTGATATATAAATGCTAGCTATTATTACTATTATTATTATTAATGTTATTCAACACATGGCATAGTAGACTATTAAACATTAGGAAGAATTCCCTTATTTCTAAGGCATATGATGACCCTGCCATGTTAATGACCAAAGGAGACTATGAGATCTTCGTTGCTAGAGACTTTTAAGAACAGAAGTTGAGTGGTTAGCCTTTCCTAGGGTAAGGGGCCTATCAGCCTTGAGGTAGGGGAAGGAACAGTAATTTTGGAACACACTGAATATTTTCCAGGTGTCATGGGATTGTGAAGTAGATAAGGAGGAAGGAGGGTGTGTTTCAGGCCCTGGTAGCCAACCCATCATGGAAACCCGGTTTCCTGTTGTTATACTCCCACACTTTTTCACTCCTGCTCTGGTTTTCACCCCAATTTGAAAGATCTGGTGAAATGGTTATGGTGGCTGCCCCCACCCCTATCAGAGTCCATGACAGAGAGAAGAGCCCGAGGAGCAGCAGGTAGAGCCAGGACTGTGTCAAACAGACAGACAAACACAGAAATAGAGTTGGACAGGTCCAGAGACAGAAATAAAGACAAAGGGGCAGAGACAGAGAAACTTATAGACAGAAGAGGAGAGACAGACAGAGACAGAAGGAGAGATACAGACACAGAGACAGAGAGACAGAGACAGAGAGAGGCAGCACTCTCCTGCCTAGAAGTCTGTGCGACCTATATGCTCTGTATTATTAGTCATCGGCATTCATCCCAACAACACCTTCCCTCCCTCCTCCACAGCTCACCTCACTAGCACCCGGCTATCTAATTTCCTCCTACTCCACACTCTAATAGGGCTTTAACTTCTTTCTTCTCTTCCTTTCCATCTCACAGGAAATAGCAGAGACTTAACTCTCTATCCAATGATAACATTTTAATTACTTTTGGCTCTGGGCCAGCCAGTCTGAGATGGGGAGGGATGTCCACACTCAATGCTTGCTGACCTATCCTCCTCTTTGTATATTATTTGTGGCCAGCCCTTAATGCCAGGCTGACTTCTTTCCTGCCATCCACCATGCACCTGGGCACCTTTTCACTCCAGTCACTCACTGTAAGCCTAGCATGGTATTTTGTACATAGTAGGTAATTAACATATGTTTGTTGAATTGGATTGTAAGCTCAGAGAATGTTACCTCATTTCAACATTCAACAATGACAAAAATTTGTCAAGTGTTTATGTGAGGCTGGGCCCAGGGTTCTTAAATTTATGTATGTGTCATGAGCCCCTCTGACAGTCTTGTGAAGCCTATGGACTCCTTCCCAGAATCACATCTTTAAACGCATCAGATGAAATGCTGAAGATTACAAACAAAGCCAATATACAGAAAAAAAAAACAGCTTATCAAAATATTTAAACCAAAAAATGGATCCTAAATTAAGAATCTCTAGTCTAGACACAATCTATTTAAGTTGAAAGATGCCTTACAGAACATCCAATCTATTTTTATAGATAAGGAAACCGAGGCCCTGGAGAGTGAAGTGATTTTATCATACATTTATTTAGTAAATAAAAGAACGGGAATCTTCAGATACTAAGTTCAATAGCACACTAAAGCTGCCTTTGGCTTCAACTAAAGCAAAATGCAAATGAAATAAAGGTCCATTTAATTGTACTATTAATAAAAAGAATGGCTTTTATATTTCCCTCTAATCTGAATTATCTCTGCATCTCTTTCTCTTTCATTAGTGTGGGAGTTGAGACTGACAGAAACCATTTCTCCTTTCCCCTCAACCCAGATTTTGTTTCTCTCTGATGGAGAGCTGAAATTAGTTCTTCTCTGGTTTTGTATTGACTTAAAAAAAATATGTTTAGGGAGCAGCAAGGTGGTGCAGTGGATAGAGCACCGGCCCTGGTTCAGGAGGACCTGAGTTCAAATCTGGCCTCAGACACATAACACTTATTAGCTGTGTGACCCTGGGCAAGTCATTTAACCCCTATTGTCCACCCCAAAAAATGTTTATTTTTTATGTTTACCCTCCATCTGCCTCTCCATGTCAATGTGTCTGTCTTAGACAGGGAGTTCCCAGAGGACACTGGGTGCAGCACCTAGACTAGCATCACCCTGCATGAAAGCTCAATTTGGAATATTCTTAGTTCTGGGCACCACCATTCAGGATGGTTAATGACCTTGATGAAGGTTGTGGAAGCATGCACCATTCTGTGAGGAGGTCTTATTCTGAGACCTGTGAGAAGACAAAAAAAAAAAGGTCAAATAAAAAAAATGAGAGAAGAATTAGGGGAAAGGATGCCTTATGGAAGAGGAATTAGAGTCACCCCCTCTTCATCCCAAAAGGTAGGGGACAAAAGCTCTAGAGAGGTGGGTTGGAAGTGAACATAAGGGAAACTTTGCTAAAAATTTGAAATATTACAAAGTGAAAGGGGCTGCTTTGAGAAATACTGAGCTACCCATGGCTAGAGTCTTCTGGTGGACACTGAGATAACTACTTGGGATGGTTGTTCAGGGATTCTTGCTCTGGTAAGGTCTGGACTCTGAATACTCTCTGAAGGTGTGGATTAAGGGGGGAAATACCTGGAACTGGAGATTTGATTTCAGCCTCAGCTCACTATGTCAACAAGCATTAATTATATACATGTTATGTGCCAGGAACAGTGCCAAGTGCTTGGGATGCAACACAAGGCAAAAGACTGCACAGCTTTGCCTTATTTAAATCCAATTCACATGCAAGTCAAGACATCATTCTTGCCATGTCACTGGTCCCCTTCAAGAATGAAGGATGAACAAGGCAAAAAGCTTTAGGAGCATTCAAGGAGTTTACAGTCTAATGGGGAGATCACATGCAAACAATTACGTACAAACAAGTCACATACAAAATAAACTGGAGATGACGAGAGGGAGAAGGCATGAGAACCAAGGAGAACAGGGGAAGGCTTCCAGTAGAACATAGGGTTTTAACTGAGACCTGAAGGGAGGCGTAGAATCCAAGAGACGGTGACTAGGAGTGGGAACACTCTAGGCATGGGGGGAGTCATTGAAAATGCCAGGAGCCAGGGGCAGCTAGGTGGCATAGTGGATAGAGCACCGGCCCTGAAGTCAGGAGTACCTGAGTTCAAATCTGGTCTCAGACTGAAAACTTGGCACTAGCTATGTAACCCTGGGCAAGTCACTTAACCCCAACTGCCTTAAAAAAAATGCCAGGAGCTGAGAGATGGTGTGTCTTATGTGAGGAAGAGTAAGAAGACCAGTATCACTGTATCGCTGAGTACCTGGGGGTTGAGGTGGAGGTTGTAACATGTAAGAAGATGGAGAAGTCTGGGAGAGGCAGCAAGATATGAAGGACTTTAAACACCAAAGAGAGGGTTTTATAATTGATCCTGGAGGTAATAGGGAGCCACTGGAGTTTATTGTCTAGGAGGAAGATGCAATGATCATGTCAGACCTGTGCTATTTGTTTCTAATGGTAGCCATCTCTTGGGCAGGTATAGGGGTGAGAAGAAAAAAAAAAGAAATTTATACTATAACTTATATAGGAATAGCAAGTTGTATATAATAAAATTATAACTTCATGTGTAATCACCTTTTAAATTATACTATGTTATAGAAATGCTTGTTTTATTCCATAAATTTTATTTCAATTAATTGATTATTTTTTGGAAAATTTTTTAAAAATTGAAATAAAAAAAAATACTTTGACAGCTGAGTGGAGGAAGGACTAGAATGAGGAGAAACTTTTGGCAGGCAAAACCAACCAGCAGGCTTGGGCATAGAGACAGACTACTCAGAATGCAATACTTGTATTGCTAAGCCCTTTACTTTGTTTTATGACATGAAGGGTGGAAAGGAGCATGTTCTTTACTGTAAGATAAACATGTCATGCTGAGAAAATCTAAGTGGAATCAGGTTTTCTTTAGCCTATGCAGAGATGTTCCAGGACCATTCATTTTGATACCTACTTGCATGTTTTTAACCAAACAGCACAATAATATATTATTGTTAATAATAAATTGCAAGAAGTATTCCACCAGGGCTTGGTGTTGTTTGATCCCAGGCTGCCTAACATTTTTATCAGTAGCTTAGGTAAAAAAATAATTGGCACACTTAGAAAATTTGTAAAAAACACAAATATTGATTGCATGGATAATTAACATGTTGGATGAGAGTCACCACACAAAAACATCTTGACAGGTTAGAACATTGGGTAAAATCATTTTGGGGCAGGGGAGGCATAGCTTTGAGGTTTTAAAGTTCAATTTAAAACTCTCAGTGCTCCCAGAAACTAAGCTTTTATGATCACTGAATGCCAGATGTGGAAAGGGTGTCAGAGGCCATCTAATCCTGAAATAAAATCCCCTCTACAACATTTTTGAAAAGTAAATGGAGAACTCTGGTGAAAGGGAAATGGTTTTCTTAACTGCAAAATGGGGATAATAATAGCACCGACCTTGCAGAGTTATTGTGAGCATCTACTAAGATAATATTTGTAAAGTGTGAAGCTCATAATAGGCACTTAATAAATTATTATTTCCTTCCTTCCTTCCTATAGGAGTTCAGAGGGTGATTCTGTGGCCAGAGGTAGTCAGGGTGGGATTCATGAAGAAAGTAGGACCCAAGTTGAATCTTGAAGAATGAGAAGGAATTGGTTTGGCAAAGATGGGGACGAAGGGTGCGGTGGAATATCCCAGGTAGGTAGAATAACATGAATAAAGGCTGAGCTTAGAAAGCTCAAGATATATAGTTGGGAGTGACAAGGGAAGAGATCTCTTTCATCTCCAATATTTCTGTCTCTTTACCCTCCACAGTTTCACCACTCTTGGTGATCCCAATGGGTGTATCTCAAAGGGAAAGTCTTCAGAACCAATAGGAGAATGAAAGGACACATCACTGGCCTTGAAGCAAAATGGGCCATTTCTTCATAATTTGGGGTGTTGAGTAGAGGTAGGGAATTTGGCCATTTTAAAAATGCTTTTCCTGCTAGGGAAAGAGAATAGCTGACATGGGTCATTAAAAAATGCCTCGTGGTAGCCTAACTGGCTTAGTGTCATAGAATGTTAGGCTAGAAGAAAACATAAGAGACCATCTAATTTGATCTCATTTTACATATAAGGGAATGGAGGCCCAGAGAGAGAAAATGACTTTCTTAAAGACAAAATACCATGTTAATGGCAAAGCGAAGGCTTAAAAACCGAAGGTTCTAGTTTCTAATCCCATGCATCATGGTGAATTTCCAAACCTATTTGGAGACATCAGAGGCCACCAGGTTTTTAATAGGTTTCATATTGAGTTTTCAGCTCCATCTCACTAAGAGTTCTCCCTCCCCTGACAGCTGCTGTCCCCAAATTTTTGGTCTGATAACTCTTTACCGCTTCCTCCAGAAAAGGCATCTAGTATCTTATCTCCCTGAAGCACAGCTTCCTCTTGCCACCACTGCCATCATTTTCACAAAATTATCCTATCAACCTTCCCCTGCCTCCAGGCCCAAGTGAACTGAGAACATCCTAATATGTTCCCATAACTAGATCTTAACAGTCAAAGTTGAGTAGAGAATGGATGCAATTACCCACATAATTCTAGTCTCTAAAACCACATACCCAGGGCTCAGTAGCCTTCATAGCTGAAAAATCCTTGATGATTGTTACAGTAACAAAAATAACAACTCACATTTCTGGAGTGACTTATCTATATAGATCCACGCTATGGATTCAGAAAACATTTTCCTCCTGATAACTCTGTAAGATAGTGACTATAATTGTACCCATTTTAGAGGTGAGAAAAGTGAGGCTTAGAGAGGTTTAGCTGCATTTCTCACAGGTATGTATTTAGTAAGTGACAGAGCCAAGAAGTTGCTTAACCCTGTTTGCCTCAGTTTCCTCATCTGTAAAATGAGCTGGAATAAGAAATGGCAAACCATTACAGTATTTTTGCCAAGAAAACCCCAAACAGGGTCATGAAGAGTTGGACATGATTGAAACAATTTAACAACATCTTGACTCCAACTTGTTTCGTTGTTGTTGTTTTGTTTTGTGTTTTTCTTCCATGCTGTGTAGATGTCTATCTCACTGTTATGGAGCATCTATTCTATTGCTGCTTTTTCAAGCAAAAACTGACTCATAGATTTAAGGTTGTCAGAGATGGAGGAGATTTTACTAATCATCTAGTCTAACCCCTTTGTTTTACAGATGAGGAAATTGAGGCACAGAAAAATTAGGTACTTTGCCTAAGGTCACATAGCAGGTTACTGATTTCCACTTCCACTTGACCTACCCAGATATTGGCTGTCATATAGTGAGTGGCAAAGTGGTACAGCACATAGAGCACCAGTCCTACAGGCAGGAAGATGTGGGTTCAAATCCAACCTCAGATGCTTCATAGCCGTGTGACCCTGACAAGTCACTTCACCTCTGTTTGTCTCAGTTTCCTCATCTGTAAAATGAGAATGATTATAGAACCTACTTCCCAAGGTTGTTTTGAGGGCCAGATGAGACAGTGTTTGTAAGCTGTGCAGTACAATGCCTGGCCCAAAGTAAGCACTATGTAAATTTTAACTATTATTATTATTATTATTATTATTATTATTATTATTATTATAGAAGTCACCCTTGGTTTCCTTTGCCATCATCAAAATACAAACGTCATTTTCCTTCCAACAGATTCCTTCTTCCTAACCTACACACTTTTGTCAATGGGATCACCATTCTCCTCTCACTCTGATTTGAAATCTCAGAATGATCTCTAAATTCTCCATTTGTGTCACCGTTACTCCCATGCTGTTTTCCAAATCCTGTTCATTCTACCTCCAAAATATCTCTGCCATTAGACCTTCCATTCCAACCTGAATCATCCAGGTCCTCATTCAGGTCTTATCTACACTATCACACCAGACTCCTTACTGATCTCTTTGCTTCCAGACTCTTCCCCACTCCAATCTATCCTTTACAGAAGTAATATAATGCTAAAGCATGGTTCTAGTCTCCTTCTTCACCCATCAGAGACTTTTAGTGCTTATCCAGTGATGACTGATTGAATAAGGTCCAAACCCTTTGTTACTTAAGGATATCTACAAACTGTCATGTGAAGGATGAGCGATACAATGAAAAGCATTCCAGATTTAGCACAAAACCCGAGGTAGATTCTTGGTTCTATTGTTTACTTAGGTCAGTCACCTTTCCTCAACTATCAAATGAGGATGTTAGACTAGATGACCTCCAAAGTTCCATCCAGCTATGACCTTATAAGTCTAACCTCTTTTGGAAATTAGCTTCTCTTTCTCAGTCCTTGATTAGCACTTTGTACTTGTCTTCTGCCCTCATGTTCTATTTTATGGAATATTTATTTATGACCGTATCTTGTCCTTCTTATTAGAATGAGAGAACAGGGGCCAGGTATTATTATGCTGGGTGCCCAGCAGAGCATCTTGAGCATAATAGAAAACTTAACAAATACTTGTTGAACTAAACTGAAAAATTCTTGTTAAACATGCCATTATGTTTGGGACTCTGTTGTTTGTTATATGATAGAAATTCAGAGACCCAACCCATCTCTGCTTCCATGGAGAAAGCTGAAAGTGGCTATTCAAGCCAGAAAATTCATTCATACCTTCAACTGTTCAACAAATATTTATCAAGTGTTCATTATGTGCTGTGTCAAAAACAGCCAGAAAGGAATAATGCAGAATGTAATCCATAAAGGTTTTCTGTTCAGTGGCACACTGCCTTCTATTCAACACATCCAACAAATGTGTTAAGCATTTACTATGTATCCGACATCTTTCTAGTGTCATAATACGGTTAACCTACCTATCTAGATCACCATTCTACTCCCTATTCTGGAGCATCTCTTCCCAAAACAGAAACCAAGGGTAACTCCAATTTCCTAATACAGGTGTGGTACCAGATAAAATCTGATCTTGCCTCCATGTTATCATGTATCACTCTCTATAGGTATTATTACATGGGGGCTACTAGTAACCAGGCCAAAATTTGGTTCCAATTTACAGATTTTCTCACACCTGGTCCCAGTGTACAATACCCACTCTATTTCTGGTGGAAGAAGGGAAGCTAGGAGGCAGAAGTGAAGAGAAAACATCCCAGGCATGGGAGACAGCCAGCCAAAGGATACTGGCCTTTGCTAGTACAAAAGCAAGAAATCTAGAGAACAGGAAGCAGACCAGTGTAGCTGGATTATAGAGATCATGGAGAAGAAAAAGTGTAAGAAGACTGGAAAGGTATGGAGGGGCCAGGTTTTGAAGCTCTCTATGTGTCAGAGGAGTTTATATTTGATCCTGAAGCTAATAGGGAACCAATGGAATTTATTGGCTTGTTCAAGGCCACACAGTGAGTTAATAGTAGAGGTGCACTGTTTTTCCCACTGGATGAATTTCATTCCAATAGTTAAGGAATTCTTCCTTCTCAATGACTAGAATTCCCAATAACCCACATATAACTCTTTTAGGGTTCAGAGCACTTAATTCCATTATCTTATTTAAATCTCACAATATCCTTCTGAATTATTATTGTCCCCATTTTGTAGAAGAGGAAACTGAGGGCCAAAACAGTTAAGTGACTTATCTAAAGTTGTGTGGATGGTAGAACAGGGACTACAAGAGTTTAAGTTCATTCCCACTTAGCATCATGCAATATGGAGCGAGAATAAATCATCTCATTTACTCTCCAACCCATTTTAGAGATGGGGAAACAGAGGTCTTCTAACTCCAAATCTAGATCTTTTTTCTATCACACAGCACTATTTTTTGACAAATGTACACTCAAACAGCCATACAGATATCACATCTCCTAGCATATGGAGCCAACTATAGTTCATGTCAACAAGAAGAATCTGTATTGATCGCAATGGTGTCTGTTTCTCCTACATTACCCCCAGATCTCTGGCTTTAAGCCCTCCTGTGACCCCCACTGCAGCCCTGGTTGCTTCCCATCACTTTCCCCATCCATATTCTTCATGTTTCAAAGATTCTTGAAGACCCCTCCCCTCCTAACCAACTGTTTGGGATTTTAGAATCTCTTAAAGCTGAAGTTGAACACAGAGGGAAAGCATGTATTGTCTTTGATCTTTCATGGCTTTAGAGAGCATAAAAACTCTAAAATAGACTTGAAACTTGTTGACAAGTCACTCTTTAGCCCTTTCTATTCTAGTCTAGCCATCCCAACTTATTAGAAGCAAAGGAAGATGAGAAGTAAAAGGGGGAATCAGGAGAGAGAGAGAGAGAGAGGGAAAGAGAGAGAGAGAGAGAGAGAGAGAGAGAGAGAGAGAGAGAGAGAGAGAGAGAGAAATAGTCATGCTAGCCCCAAGAGTTTGTAGTCAAGCAATGCTCCCTGACCATTCTGTCCCATCTTTATCAACTTGAGTAGCCACAACACAGAACAACAAGTTATCTATGCATACCCCCTCCCCAGTCACCCTCAGTCTCACTCAGACCCATTTATGGACTATTGCTGAAATCACATCTATGCCTGCTCCTAAAGTAACGAATGAGAGAAATGCACAAAGAAGATTCAAAAAGAGCTAAATTTAAATTTGATGTCAAGAAAAACTTCGTTAACAATCTAAGCTGTCCAAAATGGGCTGTCTTTGGGTTGGAAGGGGTGGGTTCTTCTTCCTTGGAGATGTTCAGCAGAGACTAGGTGACTACTCCTTGAGTATATTATAATGGAGATTACTTTCATGTACAATTTGGACTAGAAGCCACTGAGTCTCTTTCAACCTCAGATTTGGTCATTCTGCGGAGTCTTGCAGTATAGAGGAGTCAAGAACCACAGAATCTCAAAGCTTGAAAAAATGCAATCCCTACCTGAGCAGAAATTTCCTCTACAATATCCCTGGAATCAATGTCCATCTTCTCCTGAAGACCTCAAGTGATGTGGAGACTCTTCAAACATCTCATTCCACTTGTGGAAAGTTCTAATTATTTAGAAGTTTCTCTTTTCATGGAGCTGAAATCTTTCTTTCTATGATATTCATTCACTGTTCCTCATTCTGCCCATTGAGACAAAGCAGGGCAAGTTTCTTCCATATGTACTGAAATATGTGAAGACTGTAGCTCATATCTCTTCCTAAGTCAGGAGTTCTTTAGCTGGAGGGCTGAGAACTTGGGTTTTTAAACATTTTAGTAATTGTATTTCAATATAATTGATTTCCTTTGCTATTGTTCACTTATTGCAGTTGTTTCTGACTCTTTGTAACCTCATTCAGGGTTTTTCTTGGCAAAAATAATGGAATGGTTTGTAGTTTCTTTCTCTAACTCATTTTACAGGTAAAGAAACTGAGACAAACAGGGTCACAGAGTAGTAAGTTATCTGAAGCCAGATTTGAACTTGGGAAGATGAGTCTTCCTGACTCCAGGCCTAGCACTATGCCACCTTGTTACCCCAATTGCCTTTGTAGTCCTTTGAATTTTATTTTATGCATTAAAAACTATGATTCTGAGAAGGACCTATAGGCTTCAACAGACCATGGCCAAAGAGGTCCACAGTACAAAAAAAAAGTTAAGAACCACTGAAAATCTAAGTCTCTTCTTTTCCAAGCTAAACACCCCCACTCCCACCTCAAAAGACAGAGTCTTGCTCCAAGAAGTTCAATGAAAACAAAGTGCTCCCTTATGAAGCTAGTGCTGAGGACAAGGTGGTTGCCTATGTCAAAGGCCATTGATATTCTGTCTGATTTTATCCGCATGAAATGGAGATATGTTCACCCACTGTATAATAAGTCTATGCAATGTGAGCTGTGGCCCACCTGGCTTCTTTCGTGTTGGTTGTTTGTTTGTTTTGTTTTTTGTTTTTAACTAAGGCGATGGGGTTAAGTGACTTGCACAGGGTCACACAGCTAGTGTCAAGTGTCTGAGGCAGGATTTGAACTCAGGTCCTCCTGATTCCAGGGCCAGTGCTCTATCCCTGCCAGCTAGCTGCCCCCTGGCTTCTCCTGTGTTTGTTGAGCCCATGGGATATAAAGCAATATCCTACTACTTGGGCTGCAGAATAAAGAATTAAAACATATCCCTGATGCTCAGAAAGCTAACTATTTAGCAGGGGAGTTAACTAATACAATGGGTATGTAGTCAATAGAAGGATGTGATTATAAAATTCTCCAATATAATATCAATTTTTGCTCAGTCATTTTAGTCATGTTTGACTCTTCATGATCCTATTTGGGGGTTTCTTGGCAGAGATACTGGAGTGGTTTGCCATTTCCTTCTCCAGCTCACTTTACAGGTGAGGAAACTGAGGCAAACAGGGTTATATGATTTGCCCAGGGTCACACAGCTAGTAAGTTTCTGAGGCCAGATTTGAACTCAAGACAATGAGTCTTCCTGACTTCAGGCCAAATACTGAGATTCACTGTGCCACTTAGCTGTTTGTAAATAGGAATAACTAATATTTATATAACATTTTAAGGTTGGCAATGTATTTTACAGATAGTATCTCATTTCATCCTCACAACAACCCTGGGAGGTAGGTGCTATTATTATTCACATTTTATGGATGAGGAAACTCAGGCAGGCAGAGAGGTTAAGACACTTGCCCAGGGTCACACAGCTAGTAAATATCTGAGGCTGGATTTTAATTCAGTTCTTTCCTGACTCCAGGCCCATACTCTATCCATTGGGCCACCTAGCTGTTTCTTAATTAAATTTGACCTAAAATTAATATGCTCACTCTAATAGAGGTACTTAAGCTTTCAGTTAATGGTAATTTTATTTTTCTTCTTAGAAATTAGAAAGACTTTGGGAGTGATCATTTATGTAGCTTGGATCTTTTCTTTTTTTCTTTTTTATTAATTTATTTTGATTTATCAACAATCACTTCCATATGCTTTTGAGTTTAAAATTTTTGTCCCCCTTCCTCCCCACCCGCCTCCCCAAGACGGCGTACAATCTGATATAGGCTATACACATACATTCTTATTAAACATATTTTCATATTAGTGGTGGTGTAAGTAAGAATTCGAACCAATAGGAGGAATCACCAGAAAGAGGAAACAAAACTCAATAGAATAAAGAAAAAAAAGATAGCAAATAGTATGCTTTGATCTACATTCAAATTCCAGAGTTCTTTCTTTGGATGTGGATAGCATTTTCCAACATGAGGCCTTTGGAGATGTATGTCTTAAATCCTTGTATTGCTAGGAAGGGTTAAGTTTATCAATATCAGTCATCGCACAACTTGGCTGTCATTGTGTACAATGTTCTTTTGGTTCTGCTCACTTCACTCAATATCAGACCATACAAGACTTTCCAGGTTTTTTTTGAAGTCAGCCTGCTCATCATTTCTTCTAGCACAATAGTATTCCATTACATTCATATACCACAACTTGTTCAGCCATTCCCCGATTGATGGGCATCCTCTCAATTTCCAATTCTTTGCCAACATAAATATTTTGTACATGTGGGTCCTTTTCCCATTTGTATGATATCTCTGGGAAACAGCCCGAGAAGTGCTATTCCTAGATCAAAGGGTATGCACATTTTTATAGCACTTTGGGCATAGTTCTTGGATCTCTTCTAAAAACTGTCCTAGGGAAGATCAAACCGAAGTCGTCTTTGTGTTTCAGTAAATGTCCCAGTAGCCAGCTCGGGGATTAAACATGAATCCATTGACCTAGAGCTACACTAAAAGTTGAGATCCCTCTTTTCAAAAATAGAAGCCACACTAAGGACTTTAATTCTGAGAGTTTGGGTTGGAAGTGTCTCTGGAATCTGGCTAATTCAATTCAAACATTTATGAAGCATCTGCCATCTGTAAATGCATTAATGCTATACCCTGGTTATCTAATCTTGGTCATCTTTGCTCCTCCTTTTTTTCCTCTCATCCTCTCCTCCTTCCTTCCAATAGCACCCCCTGCCCCAGCCCACCAACAATGAGGACAACCATGAAGGGAAAAGTGGTTTTTAAATGGCGTTCTGGAGGGAGGTGACAGAAGGAAAAACAGACAATCCTTTATCTTTTACTTGTCCCTGGCAGGAAAGAGGCCTTACAGAACAATGCACTGATTGTATGTACCTGGTCTCTGGCTGGGTTTAGCATAACTTGCTAGATAGAGCTCCTCCTCCTTCTCCAGGTGTCTCACTTCCAGGGACCAGCAACAAAGGGCCGAAAGCAGAAACCATCAAATGAATGAGTAAAGATGGCAAAAAGTGAATTGTAAGTGTTTACTGGGCAGTACTGCATGAGCAGAGGGAAAAAAGGCAAAACTATGGGAAGACAGAGCATGTTGATACATCTAGGAAGCCTTCCTGAACTGATCTTGATTGGTATCTGAGAGGAATGAGGGGGAAAGTGCCAAACAGGGAGGGAGGTGGTATTCTAAGCATAGGGACAGAAGGATGGATGAGATCTGATGGTTCATACTAAATAAAGCATGCAAATAAATCTGCAGGTCAAAATACATAATCCAGGAATCATCTCTACTTATCTGGAAAATGCATTAAAGGATTACTTTTTTTTTTTGGTTATCTGGTTTGCCTTATTGAGTTTTAGAATCTAAAGCTGTAAGAGACCTGGGAGATCATCTGGCCCATTCTCCCCTTCCCTCTCATTTTATAGATGAGGAAAACAAGGATCAGAGATATGAAGGGATTTGCCCAAAGTCACACAGCGAGTAAGTACCAGAGGCAAGATTCAAACCCAGATCTTCTGACTCAAAATTCTATACACATTATACTAATATACTAAACTATGCTCCCTTCTTATATATGAATTCAGAGGCTGATATGCCAAGGAGGAAAGTCTTGGAATCCCTATATCTATACTGAGGGTGAAGGAGTGGGCAGGAGAGTGGGAAGAGTGAAAGTTGATAAGATATTAAGTATCAGTTGCAGAAATTCCTCTCTTATTAACCTCCTCTCTATAAAACAAAGGCCCTTAATCTCTTTGTGCCACAGACCCCTTTGGCAGTCTGAAGAAGCCTATGGACTCTTGGAATCTTGTTTTTAAATGCTTAAAATTAAATATATATGATTAGGAAGGAAATCAATTATAATTGAAATGCGAGGTAGTTAAGAACTCTTTCTATAGAGGGCTGAAAAACTCTAGCGTCTTCTACCTCCTGTCTCTGATGCTAGAGAATTGTTCTGTCAGATACTTCTCCCAGGAAAAACAAAACAAATAAACAAACATAAAAGCTTCTGCAACCACAAAAAGTAGATGTAAAGGACTTCTTGGGGATGATGTATGGCATGCAAACATGCAACCTGACAGTGTTCACAGAGTTCATAGCCAGATACTTAAACCAAAACTTGTGATTAAGATGTTTCAAACACTTAGAAGTCTAAACCAGATTAAGATGCAACTTGGCAAATATTTAACAAAATAAAGAAAAATAGAATAGAACATGGATATTGTTAATATGTTCTTTCCTTAGTCAATAAATGGCTGGTTGAAATAATTTTGATCCTGGGCAAGTCACTTAACCCTATTTACCTCCATTTTCTCTTCTGCAAAATGAGCTGGAGTAGGAAATGGTGAACCACTCCAGTACCTCTGCCAAGAAAATCTCAAATGGGATCACAAAGAGTTGGACACTACTGTACAACGGCAATGGCTTCATTTCTATTTGGGTTTGACCATTGTAGTGTAGCCTTCTCTAAAATGCCATGAGCAGATGATTCCAGAATGTTGCTGTGAATTAAGTGATCTGCTTCAGGCTCCCCAGGCTTCTAGCACCCAGGCAATTCTTCCCCTGGAAGACCAACACAAAAGGAAAGGGAAAGGACTGAGATCTTTGGGATTTGCAATGGAAACTTTCTTTTCCTCTGGTAATGAAGAAAGACGAGGTTCAAATATTAGTTTTGAGAAGTTTGATGGGAGTGGTCCTCAATTTAGCTATGTAGTTTGTGCAGCACCATGGATACCTCTGCCTGAAGACCAGGGCAGCCTTCTAGTGCCACCTTCTCCCTTTAAACTAGGTCTGGCTTGTTTCCACTCCCACAAGGCTTTGCTCTCAGCTGCTCTTGTGAAATATCTGATAAAGAAAAGCTAATCTGTGCTGTTCAATCTTTTTATCAAGGACTTAGATGAAGGCATAAAGACCATGCTTTTCAAATTTGCAGAGTACATGAAACTACAGGAGATTGTTAACACATTCAGTGATAGAGTCAGGATTCAAAAATATGCTGACAGACAGAAACCATGGGTGGAACTTAATAAGATGGAACTTAATAGTGAGAAATGGAAGATCTCACAGATGGGTTCAAATACAAGATGGGGGAAACAAGACTCCATGATATGGTCATTCATGCAGACAGATCCTGGAGAATTCCATGAACTGCCTGCTCAGGATGGGTCATTAGTGTGTGACACTATAGCCAAAAGTACCCATTCACTCTTAGGCTTCGTTATCTGGAGTATTGGATCCAGTTCTGAATATATCACAGCTTAGGAAGAATGTTGACAAGCTGGATCCAGCATATGAGAGGAGCAGCTTTGTACAAGAATGGTAGAGGGCATTGGACTAAGATTCAACAGGATTAAATTTGAACCCTAGTTCTTCCACTAAACAATGTATGGCCTTGGTTAAGATGCAAAATATCCCCATGTCTCCATTTTGTCATCTCTTAGATAAAAAATTTGGACTAGATTGTCAGAAGTGATGGTTGGAGTGATAGGCTTGGACTTAGACAGACCTGGGTTCACAATCTGTCTTGGATAACCATTATTTATGTGACAAAAAATTAACCTCTCATAGCTTCTGTCATTTATAAAATGAGAAGGTTGGACCTCATGGCTTCTAATGTCTCTTCTAGCTCTAAATGTTTGATCCTATCATCTTAGAGTTCCCAACCAATTCTTATCGTTTATGAAGCTGTGTCCAAGAGCAAGGGGGTTGGTGAAGTGACAGGATGATGAGAGCTACACAGAGATCTGTTAAGGAAACTGAAAATGTTTAACCTGGAGAAGGGACCTTCGAGGCATGAGATATTTAATATTCAAAGGCCTGTCACGTGGAAGAGAGAATATACTTGTTCTACTTGCTCTACATGGCAACAAAACTGGAACTAATGGGTAGAATTTGCCAAGAAGAAATATAAAGAAAATATTCTGAACAATTAGAGCTTTCCACAAGCAGAAAGGGCTGCCCCAAGGGACAGTAGGTTTCCCATCACCAGGTTATGACAGAGCAATGATCTACATGGAGCAATCAGGAGATCAAAGATGTAAGGCCTTGAGACATAGATATCCATGGGGCAAGCTCTCTCCCTTGAGCAGTTTACTTTCACCATAGGAGAATCACACATTCACATGCATGCATGCACTCTCTCATACACATACAATGACCTCTGTGCCCCTGCCTGGCCTTATGATCTTTAGCCAATGCTCACTACGAGGTAGAGCAATTATCCCCCATGTTATTATGGCCTCCACTTGAAGGCCTGATGGAGGTAAGAATTATATTACTCTCTCTCAGCACAACTGTATCTATACTCTGTATTTTGTATCTTGTAGTCTCTTCTTTGCAACTACCTCTAGCCCAAATATTCTTGCTTGGAATAACAGTCCTGCCCAGAATTCAAAGTCTTCCAGCAGAGTTTTGATGGCCACTTGTCAGGATATCTAAAGGATGGTTTTTGGTGTTAAGACTAGATGGACTAAGGGGAGACAGTATTATACAGTGGAGGAAATGCCGTATTTAGAGAGAGAAGACCTGGTTTCAAGTCCTATCTCTGTCATTTATACGCTATGTAACCTTGGGCAAGTCACAAGCTCTCTGTTTCAGTTTCTTCATCTGTAAAACGAAGGTATTGGACTGGGTGATCTCGAATGTCCTTTTCATTGCTAAACTGATAATTCCATGGCTAAATCCATGGTTCTTAAACCATGTGAACTTACAAGGGCACTGAGGGATATTTTAAATTTTCAAGTTTTGATCTAGCTACTTAATAAATAGAACCGTTAGGTATTTCTTTTGTTCCAAGAACACCATGAAGAAATTACAGAGACACTAGGGCACTGTGGATGGAGAAAGTTTGGGAAACTTCTACTTCCTAGTGGCTCATCCCATTCACCCCCCACCCCCCACTTCAGGTTGCAACTACTCAATCCAAGGCCATTGAGATCCAATCCCCCTCCAGAAGTAGTAAGGGAATTGGGGTAAAAAAAGGAGACCAATGTTAACTTCTAATTTAAGATTTTATGATTCTATCCTAAGATGTTGTCTGACAGTTAGATAAAGTGTTATTTTTCTGAGAGTCTTTTCCTTTCACGCCTGGAGAGCACCTGATTGTTGCTCTGGTACTCACATTACCTCATTTGGTCCTCACAATAACACTGTGAGGTAGACATGAGACTCATTATTATTCCCATTCTTCAGAGTAGAGAACTGAGGCATAGAGTCCAAGTGATGGAAACCAGGACTAAAACCCAGGTCTCTTGACTTTTAGTCTGACACTCTCTTTACTACATCCCTACTATATTAAAAGATCTTAAAAAACTCTCAAAATGATGAATTTTAATGGGGAGATTTCAGGTTTTGTGAAAAGGAATTCTGTAGTTCAAGGAATACCCTTTCAGGGCCCTTCAAATTTTCTCATGTAAGCCATCACACGCTCAAAAGGCTGACTCTTGAATTTACATTTTTCTTTTGGAGGAGAGAGCAGGGAGGTACATGGCGAAAAGAAGTGTCCAGACTTATGATTTGATCAATGCAAGGAACTCCCCTCATGGAAATTCCTTCCATTGATACAGATCAATTATTTGTCAGCAATGTAAAATCTCCCAGAATACTAAAAGGTTTTGACCAGCCCAAGATCTCATAGCAGGGGTCTTTCAGAGTTAAGACTTGAACTTAAATCTTCCTGACCCCAAAGGCTGGCTCTATATCCACTGTTTCTATATTTCCACTTTTAAAAGGAGAATGTATCTTAGAGTGTGAATCAGAAGACTTGTTTTATAGTTGCAGCTCTGCCATTAACTAGCTGAGTGACTATGGGCAAGCTGTAGAATCTAAAACTCATGGAATACCAGAGCTAGAAGGGCCCTTAGAGACTCCCTAGTCCAGACTCTTCATTTTATAGCTGAAGCTGAAGTCACTGAATCTCTCTGAGAAGGCTTTTTTTTTACTTAAAAAAAACAGTGATAATAACTGCCTCTTTTACATCAGAGAATTATCATAAAAATTCAGTGAAACATTGTGCATTACACTATTTGAAAACCATAAGATCTGATATAAATATAAGGCCAGACTATATCATAATTCTCATAACCATCATCTTTTTTTTTTTTTGCTTTTTAGGCAATTGGGGTTAAGTGACTTGCCCAGGGTCACACACCTAATAAGTGTCAAGTGTTTGGTCTGAGGCTGGATTTGAACTCAGGTCCTCTTGACTTCAAGGCCGGTGCTCTATATACTGTGCCACCTAGCTGCCCCCAGCCATCGTCATTTTCTTCATCATTTTTATTTTGTCATCATTATCCATAATCAAAGAACAATAAATGGTTGAAAATTGTAACAACAGAGATGTTTAGACAAAATTCACATCAAAGAGATTGTAGAAAGAAAAATTGGTCTCCTTTTTTTACCCTAATTCCCTTACTTCTTCTGGAGGAGGATTGGATCTCAATGGCCTTGGATTGAGTAGTTGCAACCTGAAGTGGGGGGTGGGGGGTGTGAATGGGATGAGCCACTAGGAAGTAGAGGTTTCTTAGTTGGTCAGATGGATGTCACTGTGGCTCCTTTTACAGGTCAGTCTCGCTATAGTTGTGGAATGCTCTGAAGTCCCAGTGTAAGCCATGGAAGGCTCTGTGCTCAGCCCCACATCCTGGGAAAAGCGGCGGGCATGGCTGCAGAAGACCCACAACTGGCAGACGCAGATCCTAGAGGAGGAGGCAGCAGCTGCCTTGCAAGATGTTCCAGACCCTGAGCCTCCCAATCTGGATGATGTCTTCTTGGAAGGTGAGGAGAAGTTAGGCATCCAGAAGGACTTGAGGCCATCAGAGTGGGCTTCTCTGGGGAAATAATGCTAGCATAGCTGGGCAGCGTGTAGACTTAGGAGAGCCTCATTTTGACCACTTTCAGAAGGTTAAGAAGATTTGAGGCATTGGGCAGAAGACTGAGGGTACTTTGCCTATAAAAGATGGTGAAAAGAAGTGTTGGTGAATGAATGAATGTGGTTGTGTGGTTGTGGTATGGTCTTCATTCTCAAAGAGGACCGTGACATCAGGGAGATGATGACATGACTTGCAATTGACTTTGATTTGAGTGAGGGAGTGCCGTGCAAAGTCACCAGCCTCACTTTCTCCTCCAGAGCGACTTGAGTCCAGTGGCCAGATGTCTATCAGGATGACTGGAGATGGCCCAGGATACAGTGGGAGATCTTGGCCCTTTTAAAGGTCTAAGGTCTTTTCAAGTTCTCACTTTGAGTAAGGCAACACCCAATCAGTGAATAGGCCTCTTTAAGAGGTGAGTCAAAGGATGGCCCCTTTAATAAAAAAAAAAATCAAACTAGGAGAGGAAGACCTTCAGGGTTGCTTGGCCAAAAGAGAAGCAGTTACTCTTTACATTCACTATGAGAACGAATGAATGAATGAATGAGAAGCAGGGAATCAGTCTTAAGGAATCTGACAATGCGGTGGCATTAGTAGGATACCAAAATATGAGAACTCAGCCCCAAGAGTATATAGTGTCCTGGAACTAATCTGATTTATTGTAACATACCATGGAAAAAACATTGTACTGGGAGTGAGGGGACCTAGCATTCTTGTTTTGTCTCAATGATAGAATTTCTGTGTGACTTGGGCAAGTCTTCCTATTTCTATTTCTTTGGGGATAAACACTGCCCTGTTTCCCAAGGCAGTCATTAACTTTCATTGAGGAGGTCATCCAACCTAAGCAAGGGAGGTCGTATTTTTATTACACTCAATCTTAGGAAGAAAAGACAAGCCTAAGTAGTAAGAGTGCCATATCACTGAGACTGAATTGAGTGACTGTTGGTAATGAGGTAGGTAGAAGAAGGTAGGAAGTGGGGAGAGGAAAAAAGTGACACCTTGGTTCAAGTTTCCTTTGATTCTCTTGCTGACTTAATTTCTGATTTCTTTAGAGAGCCCCACAAATAAAATTGAAGACTGGCTTCAGGATTGTGGGTAAGTGCAGAACTATGACTTGTGTGAAGCAAGCCAAAGTGGGAGAAAGCTGAGTTCCCTGACTCCTAAGCTAAATTTTCACTCTCTGGATTTGGGAAGAGATTATAGGAAAGTGTTTAAGATTGTGAGTGTCTATCTTACTTTTATTGCTAGAGCTTAGGGTTAGGACTAATGGATGGGCCTAAAGCTTTACAGGTTAAGATATAAGTAAGGATTTGAGTTTGGGATTGGGATGTATGTTGGGAGTAGGGATTAGAGTTGGGACTATGAACTAAAGTTAAGAGCTATGGCTGAGTGGCCCTAACTTGGGATTCACAGATTTCTTTTTTATTTGTTCTGGGGCCTTAAGGGATAAAATAAGGAAAGGGGAGACAAAGAGCTGGGTACTTTTTCCTAAAGGATAATTCATATGAGGATCGAACTGAATGCGAAACTAAGAATTAGATGTCAGAGAAGACTTTTTTTCCCCCCTAGAAATAGTAATGCTAGGAGTAGAACTAGGTCAGGTGCTCAAGCTAACTTTTTGAAATCTTAGACACAGTAGCAGACACAGACATAGAAATAAATATTGACATAGACATAGACAAACACAGATGAAGTGGTAGACATAGACATAGATATGGGCATAAGCATAGGCATAGAACTGGAACATCTTTTTGGCATCTTCTTCCATGGCATAGTAGAGAGAAAATTGGATTTGGAAGCAGACAAGCTGGTTTTTGTTCTACCTTGAGCATTTTCCTTCTCTGAGTTTTAGTTTCCTCTTCTGCATAATGAATAGGTTGACTAATCTGCTATATAAACTCACTTCCAACTCTAAATCTCATAATCTTAAATAACTATAAATTAGGTTGTGGTTCATGTTTTTTCTTTGTTGCAAGAAAGGTTTCTATTATGGGCAGGATATATCAAGAAATGATTGTCATAAAAGACAAAAGTATTAATAAAATAGACAAATGAAAATGAAAAATAAAGCACAGAAGAGAAGCTGTGTTTTATTAAGGTCAAACTGATGGACTGGATGCTGTAATCAAGCTTCATTTAAGAGTACAAAGTATACACATTCTGGAATCACTTTTTTATAACTCACCCCAGGACACAGAAAGGTAGATGAGACCTTGGAGACAGTGCCAGACCCAGAGTCAAGAAAACTTGAGTCTAAATCCAGCTTCAGACAGTTACTAGCTGTGTGATCCTGGACAAGTCACTTAACCTGAAGGAAATGACCAATCACTCCAGTATCCTTGCCAAGAAAACCCCAAATGGGGTCATGAAAAGTCAGACATCACTGAAACGACCAAACAATAACAACAACAACAATGACAACAACCAGGAAACATTCTCATGCTTGTGATTAACCTTAATCCAAATATTCTGCTTGTTGGTTTATGAGAGCCAGTTGAGACAGGAGACATGAAATCAAATCCCAGTTCTGATGATGTGTCTATAGGCAAGTTATTTCACTCGTGTACATCACATTTCCCACATTTGTAAAATGGGACTAATAACATTTGTCCTGCATATTTAGAGGACTTTTATGATTTAGAATTAGAAGGCAAAGTAACTGTATTGAGTAAAGTATTTTATAAGTCATGAAGTCCTATGAACATATAAATTATGTAGAAAATACTTCAAAATAAAATAATGTATTGGTTAGAACAAATAAGATGGGAAGCTACGGCATGATTAATTTAAAACAGTAACCAAAGGTTATTTCTGGACCGATTTTAGAATAGAACCCACAGGGGCAGCTAGGTGGCACAGTGGAGCATAGGACTGACCTAGAGTCAGGAGGACTTGAGTTTAAATCCAGCTTCAGAAACTTACTAGCTGTGTTACCCTGGACAAGTCACTTAACTCCAATTGCCTCAACAACAACAAAAAATAATGATGGAACCTATGGTATTCCTACAGTGTAATCTATTATTATTTAGCTGGGGCTGATTTCAAAATCTTATGCCATTCATTGAGCACTTGCAGCAGTAGAATTTTGGGAATAGGAGATTAAAGGATTATGTCAGGATTGCTTTGAAGAAATAAGAAGCACACCATCACTCCCACTCTCTTAGATTTAAAATTAGCCATGGGTAATCAACAATGCAGATACTGAGAGCTGACTTTCTTTGCTAGTGTCCATATTTTCTCTCCATGTTCCTTTGTCTTTTCAATCGAACCCACCAAATTCTTGTGTCAACATAAGAATACTGAAGTCCTACTGGATATAGAGTCAGAAGACCTGGTTTCAACCATGCTCCTTTGTCTTTTCAATTGAACCCAAGAAATTCTCATGTCCACGTAAGAACATTGAAGTCCTACTGGATTTGAAGCCAGAAGACCTGGGTTTGAACGTTGACTGTGTTACTTCATAGAATCACAGTCTCAGAATTAGAGGAGACCCCTGAGGCCATCCATTCTACCTGTGCCTGACTTACAATCCCCTGTATAACAAAACCAACAACAGAAAAAGCTTATCTAGCTTTTGCTTGAATATTTCTAGTGAGAGTGACCCAATAGTGCCCTGACATAGCCCATTCCACTTTTAGGTATCTCTAACAATTAGAAACTTCCTCCTACATCTGCTCCTTTGCATCTTCCATCCACTTCTCTTAGTTTTGCCCTCTGACCCTGAGCAGAATAAGTCTGATTCCAAAAGATAGAGCGTGGAATGTTTGAAGATAGCTATTGTGCCTTCTCCAGGCTAAATGTTCCTGGTTCTTTACACAAACATTAAGAATTTGAAACCATTTGCTAACCTCATTGCTCTCCTGTGGAATCTCTCCAACTTATCAATGTTCTTCCTAAAATGTGGCACAAGAATTGAACTGACCAGGGAAGAGTATGGTAGGAGTACTACCTCCCTCATTCTGAATACTGTGGTACTCTTAATGTAGCCAAATATTAGATTAGGTTAAGTTGGGGGGTTTGGGAGTTTTGGGGAGATTTTTTTGGCCTGCTATATCTCAGTGTTGACTGATTTTGAGGTTTTTAGTATGCTAAAAGTTTCGATTACCTTTCAGATGAATTGTTATCTAATCACACCTCCCCCATATTCTGTTTGTATAATTGCTTATTTTTATTTATTCTATTACATTTAATCTCATTAGATTCAGCTCAAAATTCTAGCCTATCTTTTCTCACACCAACTCTGTAATTTGATATGATAGCTGCCTGTTCCAATAGTCATCATTCACAAATTTTATAAGTGTGCTATCCAGGCCTTCATCTATAATGTTGGTAAAAAATGTTAGATGGAAAAATAAACAAGGACAAATCCTCATGCTACTCTGTGACAGACCTTCTTCTATTATGACTTCAACTCATTACTAACCATTCTTTGGAGTCAGTCATCTTATTTTTTTAATTTTCTTTTTTTTTTTTATTTTGAGCTCTTAATTCTCTCCCTACATCCACCCTCTTCCCCACCCACTGAGAAGGCAAGTAATCCAAAACCCATTATACATGTCGTGCGAAACATAATTTCAAATTATGCATGAGGCCAAAAAAGAGCAAGAAAGTGGAGAAAAAATGCTCCAAGTTGCACTTAGAGTTCACACAGAGAGTTCTCAGGACTAATGGCATTTTGCTTTGAGTCTTTTGGAATTATTGTGGATTACATTACAATATTGCTCTTATTGTACGATGTTCTCTTGGTTTTGCTCACTTTACTTTGCATCAGGTTATATAAGTCTTCCTAAGTTTTGAAACCATCCCCTTCATTCTTTGTTTTTTTCATCCCCTTCATTATTTCTTACAAAACAATAGTATTCCATCACAATCATATTCCTCAACTTGTTCAGCCATTCCCCAATTGATGAGCATCCCTTCAATTTCCAATTCTTTGCCACCACAAAAAGAGCTGCTATAAATATTTTTGTACACGTGGATCCTTTTCATTTTCCTTTGATCTGTTTGTGATACAGACCTAGTAGTGGTATTGATAAGTCAAAGGATATGCACAGTTTGATAGTCCCTGGGCATAGTTCCAAATTATTCTCCAAATGGTTAGAGCAATTTAAAATTCCACCAATAGTGTATTTAATGTACCTACTTTCCCACATTGCTCCAGTATTTGTCATTTTCCATTTCTGTCACATTAGTTATGCTGATAAATGTGAGATGGTACTTCAGGTTTGTTTTAATTTTCATTTCTCTAATTGTTAGTGAGTTTAGAGTTTTTTTCATGACTATTGTTAGCCTTTCTTCCTTCCTCTGAAAACTGCCTGTTCACATCTTTTGATAATTTATTGAGTGGAGAATGTTTCTTATTTTCCTAAATTTAACTCAGTTCCCTATATATTTGAGAAATGAGACCTTTATCAAAGAAGCTTACTGTAAATGTTTTTCCTAGTTTCCTCCTTTCTAATTTTGACTATTTTGGTTTTATTTGCATAAAAGTTTTAAAATTTCATGTAATCAAAATTATCTATTTTATCTACTGTAATTGTCTCTATCTCTTGTTTGCTCATAAACTCTTCCCTTATCTGTATATCTGACAGACAATTTTTTTTCATGTAGAGCCAATCATTCAACTAGTTTTAAAACCACTATAGCTCACTCTCTTGTCCTCAAGGAAGTAGGAGTTGTTGTCAAATGCTTTATGCATATCTAGTTAATCTATATCTTTACTTCCCCTTAATCTTCCTGTAAACCTGTTGCAAAAGGAAATGAGGTTGGTTCTGTGTGACCATGAAGCTATGCTGGATCACTGAGTTCACTACTTCTACATTTTCTAGGACTGCTTCATAACCATACCTTTAATGTTACTTTTTGAATTTTTCCCCAGTGATCAGTCAAGATTCTACTCCCATTCCTTAGTACTCATGTGGCCTTACAATAGTCACTTACATTCTATAAATCTCGGTTTCCTCATTTGTAAAATTAAAGGAATAGACAAGATGATGTCTACAATCCTTTCCAATTCAAAATCCTATGCTCTTATGTACTGTATATCCAGACATTTACTAGACGTGATGGGGGATATAAAGAAGCCTCATTCAACAAAGCCAATTCAACAAACACTGATTTAGTACCCATTATGAGCAAAGTATGTAAAACAACAAATATAGACATATATTAGCACAAAGTATATACATGAGATTTTTACATAGGGGAAATTCCCTTTTAACTAAAAAAGAAATAACCCCCATGTAGTAAACAATATAAAGTTATAAGTAACACAGGGTAGGAGCCATACCACTTTGCACAATGCCCAGCAGTACCCCGCATAAAAAAGCACTGTCTGGCTATAGGATGGAGATAATGTTGTGCATTTATATTGTTCCATGAAGAAGAGAGAAAATAGAAGTAGGGAAACCAACTAACAGAAGGTTATAGTACTATGTTATGTTATATTATGTCATGTCATGTCATGTCATATCATATCACATCATATAATATCTTATATCATATAATATATTATAACAATATTATATTATAACTCTATATAACTATATGTAACTATATATATAACTATAACTATATATAACTATATACATACATATAACTACATATAACTACATATAACTCTCTCTCTATATATATATATACATACATATAACTACATATAACTACATATAACTCTCTCTCTCTCTCTCTCTCTCTCTATATATATATATATATATATAATGATAGTCTATGAAGAGTCAACTCAGTGGGAATATGAAGCAAACCCTCTTGGACCTTCCTTGAACAACATGGGAAGCCTGACATCAGTCAATTAAGAAACATTTATTAAGTACTTACTATGTGCCCAAAAATATGCTAAGTGCAAAAAAGGCAAAAACAGGCAATGTCCTCAAAAAGCTTACATTCTAATTAGGAAAAATATACCAGATATAAACAGAATAAATAGAAAGTAATCTTGTAGAAGATGAGATGTGAATTAATTCATGAGGAAAACCAACAAAACTAAGAAGTAGAAGTGAGAAAGGAGAGCATTACAGCCATGGGTGATGGCCAACAGAAAGGCATGTAGAGGGAAAATTGAGTGTCATATGCTACAAATAGCAAGAAAGCCAGTGAAGCTGGATCCCAGAGTTTATGGGAGTAAAATAAAAACAAAAACAGAAACTTGGAAAGACACAAAGGACCTGGGAAACAGTACAGAGACATCGATTTTATTTTATTTTTTTGAGTAGGGTATGATATGGTCAAACTGATACTTTAGGAAAATCACTTTGGCAGATGAATGGAGGGTAGATTGGAATGGAGAAGACTTAGAAAGGTCTGAATCAGGGAGGTGGCTGTGTAAGTGAAGGAAAGGGGACATATAATGAGAGAGATTGTGAAAGTTGAAATGACAACATATAGCAACAGATTAGATGCATGGGGTGAGAGAGAAGTCAGAGATAATTCTGCAGCTGTGAGCCTGGGTAATTGAGAAGATGGTGGTATTGTGGACAGCAATAGGGAAGCTGGGGAGAAGAGAGATTACTGGGAAAAATGAATTCTATTTTGGGCATTTTGCTTTTGAGCTGCCTGTGAGGCATCCAGTTGGAGATGTCCAAAAGATAGTTGGTGATGTGAGTGCTCAGGAGAGAGACTAGAGCTAGGTCTATACAGCTAGGGATCATCTGCATAGAGATGCTAATTAACCTGGGAGAAACATGAGCAGCCATCTAATTTCCAGGAAAATTCTATTATCTTTATGGTAAAGCAGCACAAACTTAGTTTTCTGTATTTCAGATCCTCCGAGGAAGGGTTTCCTGAAGAGCCCGGCCTGTCCATCCATGGTGGTGAGTGCTGAATCTATTCCCTCCCTCATTCTCTTTCCTGGACTGTGGATTGTATCTATTTTTTTAACTATACATTTTCTTGCAAATATATGCCATTGATCCCTGGAAGCTCAGGTAAGGGATTATTGATGGTTCACAGAATGGATCAGTTGGGTTTTCTCCATGTACAGATAGCTCACTTTCTAAATGACAGCACAATGTATTTTTGTCTATATTACCACTCAGTCAATAAATATTTATTAAGCACTTATTATGTGTCAGGCACTGGCTAAGCATTGAGGATACAAAGAAAGGCAAAAGATATGTGACTGTGTAACTGATTGTATGGGGGTAGGGGAGGGAGTAGGGAAAAGGGAATTTTAGTTACATGTGACTATGTGTGCAGTTGTGTATATTTAAACATGAATGTATATAGACATGTGTTTCATTTGTGTGTACAAGTGTGCATACTTACTCATGAGTTTGTATGGAGTTTTGTGTATCACGATTTTGTATACATGTATGTGTGACTGTATACATGTATGCCCCCTCCTGCTTTCCTATCTCTTGGGAAAGCAAGTCTCCTTTAACTGAGATCTTCTTGGTTTCTTGTTTATGTCTAAGGATATCCCAGCCATGAAGCCAGCTTTGATGATGACCTGACCTTGGGAGCAGAGGGTAAGAGCTAAAAGGTCCAGGGTGGGGTCTGAGGGAATTATCAAGAGCAGAGGCTTAAATGTGGGTTCTGGAGAGGGGTTAAGCATTCCTCTACTTTGGATTAATGGAGATTACCACCAACACTGTGAAATTTGAAGGATGCAGAAAAGCCACACACACACACACACACACACACACACACACACACACACACACACACACACATGCACACACACACTTTTTGAAATTCACTATTAGAAATGCATTCTTTTGGATCCCTATATCTGTCTTTAAAAATAAAAAAGAACTTCTCAAAGGAGTGTTATATTAATACAAATCACCTTAAGCTTCTGGGGACTTACTCTTACAACAACAGAACTACAGACAGCCAGACTTGGAAGGTATATTAGGGTTTACTCCTAATATCTTGGTTTTAAAGATGAGGAAACTGAGACCTAGAGAGGCAAAGTGACTTACCAGATACTTTCTTGGAGAGATAGAATAGCTTGGGAACCTTGGGGGGTTAGGAAAGGGATACCAGCCCTGAGAAGATGAGGGGTTGATCAGCTTCCTACTTCACCATTTTCCCTTGGGCTGGCTCTGTTCATCATTATAATCTAAGACAAAGAATATGCCTAAGCTGAGCATTGTCAACAGACAAGACTCTAGAGACTTATCATCTGAGACTAACAAGACTGGCACACAAACCCAAGCCTAAGCATCCCAGAGCAGTCCTGGTCCCATGCTATAGGAGCTGAGATGGAACATCTAGTCTCAGTCCTGAAGACAGTCTGATGTTATGAAGAAAACACTGGGTTAGAATAAAAGACATGAGTTCAACTCCCATCTATCTTGACAAGCCATATAATTGTGAGCATGCCCTACATCTAGTTTCTATTAGCCATATAACTGAAAACAAATCACTAGCCCTTTCTAAGCCTCAGCCTCCTCATCTGTCAAACCTGGATAATAATACTTGTACTAATAATACTTTGTAAAATATTAAATAAATGTGAGCCATAATCATTATTCTCATCATACTTGCCCATGGACACATAGCCAGACTTGAACTCAGCTCATCTACTTCCAAGGGCTCTTGGTGAGACCAGATGGGAACATAGCTGGCCCTAAGGTCAGAGGACATGGATTTGAAGTTCTTCTCTTCCATTTTCTCAGTGTGTGACCTCACACAAATTATTTCATCTCTTGTGGCCTCACTCATCTATAAAATAAGGAGTTTGGTCTGGGTGAACTCTAGGGTCCTTTCAATTGATTTTAACATTCTCAGATTCTAATAATTCCTGCCCCTGGAGAGCTTTACATTGCTCAAGCAACCCCTTCCCTCATAGGCATTCTGGGAAAGTCCCAGTATGAAGACAAATCCACGGACATAGACAAGAACACAGACAGGTATTCTCATTAAACTGATACAGGGATAGAGTAGGGGCTCCAAGGGTCAAGCAATAGGAACATGAAAGGTGGTCCACTTAGAGGTAGAGGAACAGAGGAAAAAGGGCTGGCCACTTAGACTGGGACAAGATGAAAAACTCTGACCACTTTTTTCACTGTTTCTTTGTTTTCTTTTCCTTTCTTCTCCATCCCTCAGCAATTCTGTTAGCATCCAATGGTAAACTTCTTTCCAGGTGAGTGATGAAGGCCATTCCAAGGCAACTGGTGCCCTGCTGGCCAACAAGAAAGGTGGCCTTAGGATACTTCCATCTTCCTTGGAGAACACCCCAAATATACATTGCTCATGTTACCCTGGCCTGTTAACATAGGCCTCCAGCATCCCACCCCCAAAATACTGCCTTTCCAAATACCTTCCTTACCTTTCTCCACGGAACTCATAAATACCATGTGGTCCACCTGGCCATTAGTAACCAGTATGGGAATGAGAGTATCTAGCAGAAGGAATGAGTTTGCTTAGATGGGAATGAGAACATTTAATGGAGGATGAAAGTGACCCATATGGACACTGAGGTAACCAGACAGAGAGAAGAAGGATAGTAAGAGGGAATTGAGATGTTGCCCAGACACGGTATTGGAGGGCCCAGTGGGAGATAAGAATAACCAAAAGGGCATCCAGGTGGTAATTAGATTAACACTTCCACCACCACCATCACCCATCTTGCCGAGAATGGCTTGGGGAGCAGTTATCAGAGATGGTACTTCTTGTGAGAAGGGCTAATGACAGTATTTCTAATCCTTACAGGAGTTTCCTGGAGAAAACCAGGCCAGGGCATCTACTCAACCTTGGCTGCAGTATGGCATCTAGCAACATGACCAGTGGGACCAATAAAACCAGTTCAAGGTAGAAAATGCATGGCAGTTGGGGGAATGAGAGCAAAACCTTCAGGCCACTTTGAGCTTCCCTTCTCCTTTTTTCAGTCTCCTTTTTAAAGCCTATTTCCTGAGGCTCAAATTATCATTCATCAACTGTCAAATAGTAATTAACATCAAATGAATGATCAAAACTCTTTTCCTGCCCTGTACCATTGTGTCTACAGAAGATACTGCCCAACTTTTTGAGTCTAATTTGAAAAATAGACAGTCCTTGAGTGTTAGTCTTGAGAAGGCAGCTCTAAGATTTCAACATTGCAGGACTTCCTTGTGGATAACAGAGCTGACTAGTTAAAGGTACCAGTAAAAACTAAGCAAGTCAAAATAAGTATTTATAGAAACACATTTGATTTTTTTTGGGGGGGCAATTAGAGTTAAGTGACTTGCCTAGGGTCACACGGCTAGTAAGTGTCAAGTGTTTTGTCTGAGGCCAGATTTGAACTCAGGTCCTCCTGACTTCAGGGCCAGTGCATATAGAACTGTTGGACAATCTAATTCCTAATTCCTATCCTCAGGCAATTTGGTGGCAAGGGTAGGCAGAGAGAGAGAAAACATGGGCTAACATTTCTAAGTCATTTAAGATTTAGAAAGTACTTTCTTCATAACAAGCTTGTGAATTAGGTAGTATAACCCCTTTCAATAGTAAGGAAACTAAAACTCTAAGAGGTGAGATATTTGCTCAACTAGGAAGTGTAGGAGCTGAGATGTAAAGGAGATCAGGGTGACATATCAGATTTTGAGTTTGGGGATCTTTTTTCTTTCCTTCCTTCCTCCTTCCCTCCCTCCCTCCCTCCCTTCCTTCCTTCCTTCCTTTCTCCCTCCATTGCTCCCACCCACCCTCCTTCCCTCCTTTCTTTCTTTCTTTCTTTCTTTCTTTCTTTCTTTCTTTCTTTCTTTCTTTCTTTCTTTCTTTTTTCTTTCTCCTTCTTCCTGTCTTCCTTTCATCTTTTCTTCCTTCCTTTCCTTCCTTCCTTCCTTCCTTCCTTCCTTCCTTCCTTCCTTCCTTCCTTCCTTCCTTCCTTCCTTCCTTCCTTCCTTCCTTCCTTCCTTCCTTCCTTCCTTCCTTCCTCTCTCTCTCTCTTTCTCTCTTTCTTTCTTTCTCTACACTCTATGATTGAACTCATTGTTGGAGGCTGTCCTCACTGGCCCCATTTTTCTCTATCCACAGCATCTCAGAGATTCTGGACAAAGTCCGGGAGGATGCAGAGGATGTACTCTTCAGCCTGGGCTTTGCTCAAGACAATCATAGAGCCACAGCTCGGATTCCTGCCCGCTTCTTCACCACCCCCTCCCAGGCAAAGGGCATTGACTTTCAGGTGTTCCTGAAAGCTCAGGTGCAAAGGATAGAGATGGAGGACCCCTGCTTGATGCTGGCCAGTAAGTGTCAATGAAGGTCAGTCTATCCCACTCTCCCCTCAAAACCCCCAGGGCTGAATGGTCTAAGCCTCAGGTGATCTCCTCTTGGTCATACATTCCAGTGTCTCTAATCTGGATTCCTGAATGTCTGATTATGATCTAGAATTTAATTCAAAATCTTATTTTATGGATAAGGGAGTGAAGGGAAGAGGTGATGTGACCTGGCTAAGGCTATACAGGTAATAAGTGGCAGGGATTTGAACCTAGCTCTTCTTACTCTAAATGCTGTGCATTGTTCTGTTATACCATGGCAATCTTTCTGATATAATTTAGGTCCATTTCCTCTGAATCAGGATCAGGGAAGACAGACCAGTGGGTGTAGTCTGGCAGTAGTTACAGCAGTTGGAGGCAGCTGAATAGCATAGTGGATAGAACACTGAGTTTAGCCTCAGAGGGTAGAACTTGGAGCAGCTAACAGAAGTTACAAAGAAGTAAACATCAACTCCAAAAAGAAAATTTTTCTAACAAGCAAAGCTGTTTAAAAGTGTAATGGGCTCCCTCAGAAAAGAATGAGTGCCCCATTACTCGAGATTTCAAGCAGGGGGTTGAACAATTGCTTTGTGGGGTCTTTGTAGAGGAGATTGTTCTTCTGGGGACCCTGACAACTCTGAGATTCTCTGAATCCCCAATCCAGTCAGTAAAGCTGGTCAGGAGACTCTTCCTTTGCTTCTGATCATTCCTGGAAAGTTTCCAAGGGGGTTTCAGAGATTCTGAAAGTCCCCAGGATTCTCCAGAGATTTCCAAGGGGATCCCAGAAATTGCTGATGGTTCATCACCATGTGCCCACAGGTCGGTTTAAGCAGGTGCAAACGTTGGCCACCACAGCTGATGCCTTTTTCTGCCTCTACTCCTATGTGTCCAAGACTCCTGTCCAGAAATTCATGCCATCCCAATTGTTGTGGCCCAGTGCTGCCGATGCACCCCTCATCCGGGTCCTTCCCCCGGAACCCGAGGCCCGATCCCCTGTGGAGCGCTTCGGAGAGCAGTATCCAAGATGTGCCTGTACACATCCCCTCGGGATGGACCTTCTGAACCCTCTGCTTCAGCTAAAAGAAATAGTTTAGATAAAGTGGTTTGGGAGGTGATGGATAGGGTAAGAGAAGATAGACTTGCTCTTCATGTGGGTTCAGGTGGAAAGGCTGCCCCAGACCTCTACTCCGGAGCAGAGGCTCAGTGGGGGATTCCATCACCTCTTCAAACTGAAGAACTTATCTCTAAGCCTTCCTACTGCAAAGATATAAGGAAGACACAACCTGTGGACAATGGGGATCTGGAAGAAGAGAGAGACAATAAATGGCGTAATACCTATATTGCCAGCCAGCCCCCTGCAGTGTCCACTCCACATATTTGGAAGGCATCTACTCCACAGCCCTTCACTGCACAGACACTGAGATGGCAAAGGCACAGACCAGAGCAGATATGGAGTGGAGAACAGAAGCAAAGAAACAGATTACTTGGGATGGAGAAAGAGAACTATGGGTACAGAAAGACAAAGAAGAGACATATTTAAGCAAGGAGCAGGATGCCAACAGTTCTCAGGAGCCTTGCAGGAGCCAGAGGAATCCTGGAAGCACAGGAGGACAAGCAAGAAGGCGGCTATTCCAGAGAAACTATCAAGGTATAAAGGGGAAGAGAGTCAGCCCCTTAGAACAGGCTACCACTGAGGAAGAGTTAAGGAAGAGCTCAGTGGGATCAGCTCAGCCCCACGGCATACCCCAGAGATTCACTGAACAGCGGCAGGACTCCTTGGATTTGGAGGAGGTGAGTGGAGAATTCTGGAAAGAAAGGGATGTGGGTCATTGCCCTAGTGTTGAGGGGTTGAGTTGCTAAGTAAGATGGCAGAAAGGGACCCTAACTATATAAAAGGCAAAAGAGAGTCAGATTGTCCCCTCTGAGAACCCTAACCCTCACGAGCAACCTAGGTAGACCCATGTCCTGCACCCCTTGGGACAGATCTAGTTGGAAGAAATCCATGTTTTGTCCTATAAGAAGTTTCCTGAGACTTTGGACAGATGGTGGAATTTCTAACTTCATTTTTGTCTCTATAGAGAACTATCGGTACTAGGATTCTGCATACAAAAAAGTGCCCAATCTGTTGACTCTAAAGTCAGCCATGCTATATGCACATGGTTTTATATGGACTTCATATTTCAAAAAAAAAAAAAAGGCCATGAGCCTGCATCCCATTATCAGAGTTCCCTGTTCCATGACAAGTAAGCTCAGCCTTTCTGGATGGACTAGATAAGAGCTCTTAGGCTCTGTATGGCATTGTACTCCAGGGCAACCTTACCCACTGCAGCTCCTAATAGGGCTTTTCATGATTTCTGGCAACAGATACTTAGCAACAGTGATGAAGAAGGGAGCAACTGGACCAGTGAACCTGAGTGTCCCCGTTCGCTATCCCTTGGCACCTCTGGATGGAATCCTAGGAGTAAGTATCCCTCAGGAGAAATATTCTGATCCCTGGGATTCCCTAGATTGAGAGAGTCATGGGGACTAAATCCCTTGAAACCTCAGGCTCTCTTGATGAACCAACACTTGGGGAACCATAGGAAACTTCCATCCTTTGGAATCATGCCTTTCATATCCTCTGATACCATCACTCAAGGCTTAGGCCTCTTTCTTGAGACTATAGCCTTGAGGACACCTCTACCTCCTCTCCCATAATTCTTCCATCTTGAACAAGCTCCTCAAGCTGGGTGCCTTTAGAACAATAAAAGCTACCTCATCCCAGGCATGAGAATTGATTGAGACATACATTCCTTATAGATGGCAATAGCAGATATAAGAAGTAGGAATTGAGACCAGCTTTGTCTAGTTTAGAAGCTTGGTGTCCATTCGAGCTACCTTTGATGTGGATGTCTCTGTCTACCTTCAACCTAGTCTCTTCTTTCTATAGTTCCCTATGAAGTCTCTATTCCCTACCCAATTGTCCCCACCTCCTACTCATATCCCAGGAGGAAATGCCTCAGTGTTCCCATTCTGGCTACCAAGGAAGCAATAGTCTGCCTTCCCAATTCCTTCTCCAACTTAGGCAGACAGGTGCTCCCCAAGCCATGCTATACAATCATAGAACCTCTGAGCTGGAAGGGACCTCAGGAGCATTACTTCAATTCAACCCAAGCAATACTGCTATCTAGAGCATACTAACAAGTTGTCATCCAGAATCTATTTGAAGATAACCAATGATGGGGAACTTACTGTGTCCTGAGGCTCACTCTACTTGTAAATCACTCCAGTATAGAAAATCTTTGTTTAAATTAAGCCAAAATTTGCCTCCATACAACTTCTACTTCTGGTCCATGTTCTATTCTCTGAAAATAGATAAGTGAAACATTCCAAGGATTAAAAAATATATATTAACCTCTCTCTGCCTGAGAAGTGAGAGAAGTGGACTAGATGTTTGCTCTCCCTTCCAAATATAAATCTAGTTTCTATGATCATGTCCCCTCTAAGTCTTTTCTTCAAGATAAACATCTTTCAATTCCTTTAACTGATCTTCCTATGCCATGGTTTTGAGACCTTTTGCCAACTTAGCTACCCTTCTTTAAATGTACTCAAATTTGTCACTATTCCTTCTAAGACAAAGGGTCCTGAACTGGGCCAGATATGTTCTGATTACAGCAAAAAAAAAATGTACCTCTCACTCTGAACAGCATACCTCTGTTAATGCATTTTAAGGTGCATTAGCTTTTTGGGGTGCTAGGTCATACTGTTGACTCATGTTGCACTGGGAGTTCACTTAGATGACCCTGGAATTTTAGGAGGTTTTTGCTCTGATTATCACCAAGCCAGGCCAGCCTTCTTTATCTTGTATTCACGGGGTGAGTCTTTTGAACCCAAGTTCAGGATTTAGATTTGTCCATGTGAGAAGTTCATCTTGACTCTCTAAATGACAGATCTCTTTTAGTCCTAGGCTTTAACTCTCAATTCTCTCTTCTTTCACTCACTTTCCTTTACCTCCCACCTCTGAGTTATTTCCATCTTTCTTTTGTCTAGGACCCTGAACCCCTTTAGTCTAACCTCTCCAGTCCCTTGCTTTTACCTGTTACCCATCAATTCTCTCTAGTCATCATTAATAACCAATTGTTCATTTACATAGAGGGTAAAAGTTTGCACAAGAGAAATCCAAACTGATAACTACTATAGAAGATTTTCTACTATGTAACTCACTTTTTACAAATTCCTATACTTTAGGGGGAAGGGTGTGAAAGTAGGGTGTTCTCAGTGGTAGCAGTTAGTCTGAAACAGCAAATTATCCTCACCTTCTTTCTGTGTTGCTTTGGGGTAGAAAGAAAGAAACAAGGAAAGAAATAAGGAAAGAAAAAGAAAGAGAGAAAGAAAGAAAGAAACAAACAAAGAAAGAAAGTAGGAAAGAAGGAAAGAAGGGAGGGAGGGAGGAAGGAAAGAAGAAAGAAAGAAAGATGAAAATAATTTGCTATTTATATATCTATATAAATCACAGGCCCATCCAGGTCTATCTATCTATCTTGAGATAGGTAGATAGATAGACAGACACAAAAAGTAAAGATAATTTGCTGTTTCAGGCTATCTATATTAATATAAATCACCAGCCCATTAAGATCTATCTATTCATATCTATGTAGAGATAAATAGATAGATACATAAATAGATAGATATGGATGGGCCTGTGATTTAATAAGTGTAGGCACATCGTAGAATGGAAGTTCCTTTCATGGAGATCTCTACGATTTTAAGTCACAGAAAATTGTCTAGGGGTGCTGAGAGAATCAATGGCGTGTCCATGGCCACACAGACAGTATGTATCAGACAGGGCTTGAACCTAGATTATCCTCATAGCCAAGACTGGCCTTCTATGCACTACCCCCAGTCTGCCTCTCTGGAATCCTTATAGGATATTTTGGGCAGCTTGTATGTAAATCAACAAAGCACTAGTTGATAATAGTAATTAGAGTTAGGTGCTAAGAGTTGATGCATAGTGGGTAAGTTGGAGTGGAGGGAGCCAGGTGATTCAGATAGGAGGCAGAAAAAAGCAATGGAAGGAAAAGAGAGAGCTGAGGGAGTCTGGTCAAAGCTAAGGACCAAGGAGAAGTATACAATCTGAAGACCCAAGATGGAATTGTCAGATGGACAAATGTGAATACTCAGCTTGAGTCCAAAAAAAAATTCCCCTCCTAAAAGGACATATTTTCAGTCATTCAAATGGGAGGAAGAACACAGAGGAGTACTTGTAGACCGCTAAACAGATATGAATCAATGATTTGTCATACCAACCCCAAAAGTTAAGATGACCTTAAACTGAATTAACAGAGGCCAGACTGAGAGAGGTATATTCTACCCTAGACAGACCTGGAGTTTCATGTCCATTCTGATGTTCCTGTATTTTGAAAGGAGCATTGACAAACTGGAGTATATCAAGATTTTGCCCACAAAGACATCAAATAAGGTATTACTGAGAGACAGCCTGAAATAATAGATAGATGGCCAGCTTTGAAGTCAAGTCTTGCCTCTAATAAATACAGATTGTATGATCCTAAGCAAGTTACACTCTCGGTGTCCTGGGCAATTCTCTAAGACTGCATGTAAGTTATAGAAAAGATCTCCATGGAGGGAGTTTCCCTATTGGGAGTTCCCCCACGTAGAAGGCAGCACAGGTCTGGTTTTAATTTTTTTAGAAAGCATTCTAAAGAGAAATGAAAATAGTTTGGGAATTATTTGGAATGTCTGACATCACTTTAATTCTTCTTTCACATACCTTTACCCACTTCATGGGGTAGTGGAAAGAGGATGCATAAGTGGGGTCAAGGGGTCTATGCTCTAGTCTCTATTCTACTGGGCAATTAAATTCATCTTTATGGGCCTCAGTTTCCTTGTTTGTAAAATGATGTGAGGTAAACTAAGTGACTTCTAAGATTTCTTCTAACTCCTATACTCTATCAATCTCTGATGCTCTATAACAAGGAAAATAACTTTGAATTGACTGGCAGTCATCATATCCCATCTTATCATGTTATATCATATCCCAAAGTGTTCAACTGCTATTTCCCCACAAGGTGTCAGACTTGCAGTAGTAATTGCTAAAATAGCTTTTTCTTGAGCTCCCAGATGCAGGAGCTGTGAGCTGGTCTGATGAGTGACAAAGTCTTTTCTAATACCCTGTGCAGAACTGAGGGTACCAGTCACTTCCAGAGGAAGTGCCCCCCCCATTTGTTTTCCTACCTTTACCCTAGGATATAGAAGGTTAGGAAGAGAAATTGGGAAGGTCGTACCTAAAGAAAGCAAAAGAGTCATGACTTTGGATAACCACAGATGAAGTTAGGCTTCAGTTAGAACATATAGGATTGTAGTTGAAAAGTCTTGAAACAAAATAGTTAAGTTCCAAAAGGAGCAACGAAGGTTCCCACTGGAGATCCTGGAAGAATGGGAAGCAATGTCACCCAATGGATAGGGTACTGGACTTGGATTCAGGAATACATGGGTTTAGATCCCACCTCAAACACTTACTGGCTGTGTGATCCTGAGCAAGTCCCTTGCCTTCTCTGTGCCTCACTTTCCTCATCTGTAGAATGAATCAGTTGGCCTCAATGTCCTCTGAAGTCCCTTCTTGTTCTAGATCTGTGATACTATGTTAATAAAAGATCCCCCTTGGGGGGAGGAGAAGAACTCTACTGAAATCAGAAGACACTAGTTCTAGTGCTGGCTCTACTATTAAGTGCCTTTGCAGGTAGTTTCCCATCTCTGAGTTTCAGTTTCCTTCTCTGTAAAATGGGAGACTTGGGAGGCATGATCTTGAAGGACTCTTCCAACTCAAGCATTCTCCATATGACCCTATGATTCCTCTGGCATAGTCCTACTCTGAGAGAAGGAGAGAGACAGGATGGTAGCTCCAGACCCTTAACCCAGCCCCTATTATACTCCAGGCTTTGGTTGCCTCAAGCCCTCTTTTCCCAGAAGCATGAGTTCTCTTCTGCTCCCTTGATTCCCCTCAACATTCCCAGGCAAGCTAAAGGGACTGTAGGAAGGAAACAGTTCTAAAGACAGCTCTGTACTGCTAGGGATATAGGCCCCATTAAAAATATGCAAAAGTATTATTCATTCTGCCATCAAAGGCAGAGATAAGTAAAGTGGGGTCTCTAATCAATGAAAAACAATCCCACCTCTGCCTCCCCCAGTCTGCAATTATCTCCCCTGGATGCATGATGTCACTGCACAGCTGTGCACATACTTCTAGCTCTGTGACATGTGCATGTGGGAGGAAGAGGTGAGGGGGAGGTCCTGACAACTACTTCCAGGATCATCTCATCTATTCCAGTTGCTCCAAGCTCAGATAACCCATGTCCCTGGACACCTTCTCTTCCTGAAACTAAAGGTCATTCCTTCTCACACCCTCTCCTCTGAGAAGGGCACCTTCCAATCACCTCATTAGTATGGTGCCTGGCTCCTGGGAAATGATGAATAAATGCTTATTGGTTGCCTGCCCTGGAGCTCCTTCACACTTCACACCCCCTCTGCCTGAGGCAATTTCCATTCTCTGGACAGCCCCTGCCTTCAGGAGATCCAGGACAGAGTCAGGCTCTGTATCGTACTGAAGGTCTCAAAACTCCCAAAACTCAAATGGGGAAGAGGCCTCAGAGATCATTTAGTCCTACCTACGTTTAAATATCAATCCCTCTAACAACATCCCAACAAGTGGTCATTCAACCTCCATGAGAAGACTACCAGTAATGAGAAATGCATTATCTGGTGAGTCCATTCCATTTTGGACAGGTATAATTCTTTTATTATTATTATTATTTTTTTTTAAATTTTATGTTCTCCATTCTTTTTTTTTTTTTGGTGAGGCAATCGGGGTTAAGTGACTTGCCCAGGGTCACACAGCTGGTATCATGTGTCTGAGGCTGGATTTGAACTCAGGTCTTCCTGACTCCAGGGCTGGTACTCTATCCACTGCACCACCCGGCTCCCCCAACAGGTATAATTATTGTGAAGCTTTTATTTCAAGAGGAAATTTACCTCTCTGCAGTTTCCACTGATCTCTATCAGTTCTGCCCACCAGGGCCAAGTAAAACAAGTCTAATACTTTGTTATGACAGCCTTTAAGATACTTTGAGGAACCATGTTTGAGACTCATCCAGCCCCTAAAGTCAACTTTTGATGTTCCGTGCTAGGAGAGGAGGAGCAGGGCATGCTAGCCAACCCCCAAGAGAAGAAGATCTAAAAGTATTTCTACAGAGGTCTGAGATATATCATGGCAAATGGTACCAGACTGTTACAATTATTTGGCTGAGTTAAGACTGAAATGCATTTCGAAACACAGACCAAAGATACGCAGGTCTTGGAGAGAACAGGAAAGCCATCCGAAGATGAAGTTTTTGCCCTGCAGGAGCTACAGCTGGAGAATCAAGAGGTAAAAGAGACTGAGCAACTCACTTTCTCTATTTGGAGCTCTGTCTTTTTATCTGTGAAGTTCATAGGGTTGGAGTAGGGGATCTTTAAGGTTCCATCCAACTTGACCTGGTTAGCATTCCCTTGGGACTCCTTGATGGTTGGTCTGTACTCTCCTATATTCCAGTATTTATCATGTATGTGGTCTGTACCATGGCCTATCTGTCTCTATTACATCATGACAAGCTCTCCTCTCTTCAGGTCATGTTGTCCATTGCATGCAAAAGTGATGCTTCTCATCCGACGCCTGACATTGAACTGGGATGAGTTTGTCAGGCTCTATCCATCCTCCATCATGTAACAATACCAATAACAATATCTTATAGTTCACATTAAGAAAAAAAAATCACATTCACATATATTACTCAAATGAGACATTGCATGCAAACTGTTTTACAGACCTTAAAGCTTCTATGTATATTTTAACTATTATAACTATTTTTATTACTCCATTTGACACTTATAACAATCCTGTGAGAGAAGGGTGATTAGTCCCATTTTACAAATGAGAAGACTCAGCTCTGATCTTAGGTTGTATCAAACCAGGCAAAGCCCACCTCTATATTCTGCACCAGGTAGACCACATCTAGAATACACCTTTGGACTAAGGACCAATTACCATATTTTACATCATTATTCCTTCAAATGGTGCAAATTTTAATACATGAAACCACTCCACAGCATTCATTATTTGTACTCATCAGAACCTGGCTGTATGTTGTTCTATTCCAGGTGCCTTATTTTAGGAAAGGCATTATGAAGCTGGAGCATATCTAGAGGACTTCAGCCAGGAAAGGGAAGGGCTCCAAGATCATTCCACATGAGGACAGGTTGAAGGACTTGTGCTTGCTTAGCCTGGAGAAGAAAAGACTTGAGAGTAGGAAGGGTAGGGCACATGATAACTGTCATCTTGTGTCCCAGGGGCTGTCATAGGAAAGCAAGGTTTGTTTTTTCTGCTTTGCCCCAACAGGCAGAACTGGGAGTGATAGAAGGATGCTGCAAAGAGGCAGATTTAGGATTTATGTAGGGAGAACTTCCTCATAATCAGAGCTCTTCAAAAGTGAGCATGCACCCTCAGGTGACGGTAGATTACTTATCACTTGATGTATTGAAGCAAAGGCTGGACAATCATTTTGCAGGAATGTTATAGGGGAAAGATCTCTTTTCAGGTGAGGTTTGGACGAGACATCCCCCATAATTCTGAAATTCTGCCATCTGAGCAAGTGGACTTCGGAAAAACTGGAAAGACTTGTAAGGACTGATGCTGAGTGAAGTGAGCAGAACCAGCAGAACATTGTACACAGTAACAGCCATGTTATATGATGACTAACTTTGATATACTTAGCTCTTCTCAGCAATGTAAAGGTCTAAGATATCTCCGAAAGTCTCATGATGGAAAATGCCATCCAAGTCCAGAGAAAGAACTATGGAGTTTGAATGCAGATCGAAACATACTATTCACTCTTTTCACTCTTTTTTTTTCTTCTGTTGTCTTTTCTTTCCTCTTTCTTGTGTTTCCTCCTACTGGTTCTAATTCTTCTTTACAACATGACTAATATGCAAACATGTTTAATAGGAATGTATATGTAGAGCCTATATCGGATCACAAGCCGTTTTGGGGAAGGATGCGGGAAAGGAGGGAAAGATGAATTTAAAGCTCAAAATCTTATGGAAGTGAATGTTGAAAACTAAAAAATAATTAATTAATTAAAAAACAAGAGAAATTCTGCCGTCCTCTAGAGTTTAAGTGACTCATCCAGCACACAGAGTTAGAAAATAGTGGAGCCAGGATCATTCCATGATCTCAGGGCATTTCCCTGATTTATAAAATGAAGAAATTGGAGAAGGTGATCTTTAAGGTCATTCATAATTCTATGACCTGAACCTTGCTCTTCTAATTCCAGCCCAGTAGTATTTTTCTATGCTATGGAGGCCTGTGGAAGAGCCAAAGGCAGACTGGCCCACATTGGAGTCAAACGCATGATGTTTGTCTCTCTAACCCAGAATCCTAATCCCCTGAGCTAGACAGGATACATGTCTGAGTTTGTGACTTCCTTCTTGGCAGAACCCTCTGGCTGAACATGGTTTGCTTCCTTGTTAAAGGGCTCTCCTACATCCATGTACAGATACTAGTTTTGAGAGAGAAAGGTCACTCTGACTTTTGGGAAATTTCCTATGTGAACAATGAGGCAAGTAAAGAAGGTTGAGTAGAAGAAAAAATAGAAAAAAAAACTTTTTTGAAGTGGGACGTTACTGATGTTTAAGAAGAGCGAAAGCTCTTAAATTGTAAAGTAGCCTAATCAGTGAGATTCAGAGTCTACTCCTGCATGAACTGGAATAATATTAGTAATAATTAGTATGTATTATATAATATTATATCATATCACCTCAGAATATACTCATATGTAAAATGAAAATGAGGTTTGGCTTCAGGCTCTAATACTCTGGCTTTCTTTACTTCTATGACCTTACAGTTAGAAAAGAATTCTTATGGGGGTAAATAAATTCTTCCCCTCCCCAGCTCTCCTCAAAATTAATCCCAGTTGCTTATGGTTTCTCATTTGTCTCCACTACAGGCTTTCTCCTTCACACCTGCAGCACCCACTCTGACAGCAGTGGCTTCGTAGAGGATCAGCCCCTTCCACCTCCCGATCTCTCAACTGAGAAGGTTTTCCAAAGGATCTAGTCCCCAGCTTCAGGGGCCTCGGGACACCTGATATGAACATAGCAAGGCCCCAGAGAGGCCAGAAGGTATCTGGACAGAGGTTCATTTCCAAGATCCTGTTCCTTGCCTATGAAAAAAGGGAAAGGTGGAAGAGCTGGTGAAAGCTGTACCTGGGGAGCAGCATGCTTAAACCCTAAATTTAGGGACTGGGGGAATCAATTGAGGGTGGGAGGAGAGGGGCTAAAGGAGACTTACAGTTTCAGTCATCAACTAGTCTGCAAATACTGCAATGAAATTATGCCAAAGAGGAAGGGGACCAATTCATGAAGCCATCTCCCAGACTCAAGTTCCATGTGACTCTACTCATGCAGATATTCAAATAGCATCCCCTTCTGTTGTATCACTGCATACACTTTGTGCACAGAAATAATTCTAGGTGGGAAGAGAATTAGCCCTGGAAGCTTTATCCCTAACAGTTCCCACTTGAGGTTATGTCAGACACCCATGGTGATAGACACAGTCATGCCTGGGAGAACATGGAAGAAGGTATTGTTCAAGGATGAAGCTGTTACTGACATTATGACAAACTTCATCACCATCACCAAACCCTTCCATGGTCTCTGTGCCCAGACCTTGGGCAACTCACAACATGACAAGGCACACAAGGTTCCCCAGGTATACAGAGAACACCAGAGAACTTGGGGACATACAGGGAAAGCCACCAAGAGATAATGTATATCTAAAAAAGGATCGCATATGCACAACATGTGTGGATACATATAGGCATGTGTATGTATATAGCATATATTTATATATGTATATATGTATGTATACACACGCATATGTATACACACACTTATATTGCTCATCTACAGGAGATCAAATCTGTTCTGATACCTACTAGCTCTGTGACCCTGGACAAGTCACTTAACCCTGTTTGCCTCAGTTTCCTCATCTGGAAAATAAGCTGGAGAAATAAACGGGAAATCATTCTAGTATCTTTGCCAAGACAACATGGGGTCATGAATAGTAAGACATGACTGAAACAACTCAACAACAACCATACACACACACACACACACACACACACACACGTGTGTGTGTGTGTGTGTGTGTGTGTGTGTGTGTGTGTGTGTGTATTGCAATTTGACCTAGAGGGATTTAAATAGAAAAGGGAAGGGGAAAGTTGGGGGAGAGGGGAGGTGAACAAGGAAGAGGGCCTATTCATCTACAAGCCACTGCAGAAACAATCAAACTCTGGAGCTGGCCTGTTATGCCAGAGGAGGTTTCACCTAGTTTTTGTTTGTTTGTTTTATTTTCTCTCTTCTCTCTCATTCCAAAGGAATTGTCTGTAATCATAGCATTTTATCAACAGTAGTGCGGAAGCCCCACTTCTATCTTCTGGCTGTCATTGGCCACAGAGGGAGAGGGAGGAAATATCCCCTACAGAGCCACTGCCTATGTTTGCTGCTTATAGCCCCCAGGCTTCCTTAGCATCATAAAGTTTCTCAATTTGTTCATCCCACAAGGTGCCCCATCGTCTCCTGGAGCATCCTGCCTTGAGCTCTGTGGCCACAAAAACCCAATGGAATAGGTTGGAATAGGATTTTTCAATGAGATCAGGTATTCTGAGTTATCCTCTCCATTCTCTTCTCTTTGTTCTCGTCCAAGGTGCAAATGAATACCAGCATATAATGGAGACTATAAAATATTATTATTCTCCATGTTTCCTGCCAGGTGAGAAGGGTGAACTATGGAGGGCTAGTAACTACCTCAGTCATTGTTTAACAGATCATCCACAGTGAGCCCCAATATCCAGCCTCTCTGCAGCCCCAGATCCTGTGTCTGCTTAAGAAAAGGTGACCTTTCTCTGAGTGATTTCCACCTACTGGTCCTTGTAAAGTTGAAAGGAATTTTCTGAAATCAGAAAAGAAAAAGAAAAACTTAAAAGCTCTGATGTATTTTTTAGGGCATTAACTAGAATGTCTTATCTCTGTAGGAAAAATATTTTTTATAATGGGAGAGCTGGCAATCCAAAGAACAGGAATTAGGCTTATTTCATGTCTCTCCAGAGCACAAAGGGTAGAAGTTATAGGAGAGAAAATTTCAGCTCTACATATAAAAGCTCCCTGTAATCATCAGAGCTGTCAGAAAATGGAAGAGATCCAGGAAGTAATGTCAAATGAAAGTAGCTGAGCAAAGCCTCTGACTGGATGGCCAGCTGTCAAGGGCATTGCAGAAGAGATTTGGGCATTAGGTCAGAGGATGAACCAGGTGACCTTTAAGGCATCTGCCAACTTTGCGATTTAATGGACCTATGATATGAGGATAATATAGACTCTCTGAGGGTAAGGATTGTTTTATTTTTTGTCTTTATATCTCCAGTTCTTGGTACAGTACAGAAATCATAGATGCTTATGGCTATTGGTCCTCATCATCCACACATGTTTATGAAACCCCTATTATGTGTAAAAACATTTATTCTACAGAGGACATAATCTCTGACCTCAAGGAGCTTAAAGTCTAATGATTCGGAGAAAGAGAGGAAAGAGAAGAGAAGATGAGAGGGAGAGATAGGGAGAGAAACAGAGAGGGAGAGGGAAGAGCAGAGAAGATGAGGAGAGGGAAGGAGACAAAGAGGGAGAGGGGGAGAGAGGGAGAGAGAGAAAGGGAGGGAGGGAGGAGAGGGAGACAGGGAGAGAGAGAGAGAAAGAAAGAAGAAAGAAAGAAAGAAAGAAAGAAAGAAAGAAAGAAAGAAAGAAAGAAAGAGAGACAGAACATTCATTATAATCAGGGAAGGCTTCCTGGAGGAGGTGGGCTTTAAGTTTAAAACTGAAGAACAGATCAGGTTATCATAGCCAGGAAAGGATAGGAAGAAGTCCTGAGACCTGACAGAATCTTTGCTAAGTGACACGGGCAAGGGCACAAGTCTCTCCCTTAAAATAAGAGAAGTTCTCACTTGCCTGGGTGGAATATGTTGGTGCTTAGAGACAAAATGGACAAGATGACCTCTCTGGGTTTGTTCCCCAGGCTGAGAATGAAACTGCAATGACTCCCTGAGGAGGGATCCTACTTGCCCCTCACATTCTCATATGCAAGTGCATAAATAAACAAGGCAGTGTATTGAGCAATGCTCCCTCCCGCTCTTCTAATCTCCACTAAGTGATGGAAGGTTTTGAGAGACAATCAGTCCTCCCCTTTCTTTCTTTCAATTCTACCAGGACCAATTCACTAATAGAGACCATCCCTACTCCCATATGCTGGAGGAAGGAGGTCTGTGGTGTAGTTGTGAAAGGACCAGCTAGATGTAGCCATAGCTGGAGACTGTCTCTACAGGAGTGGATGGTGGGACTTAGTCCCAGATCTTGTCAGACATGGACAGCATCCAGACCTTGAGTTAGTTTCCACCACAAAAATCCTCCTCTGGTGCCTTATTGTGATGTGGAGGTAACCCTGGGATTTAAAAGGCTATAATACCAAAGTGTAAGCACTGGAAATTCCTATTCTGATGCTGAATTAGTTATTAATAGCATGCACTTATATATTTCTTCCCATTTTACATGGATGATCTCACTTTTTTATCATAACAAAAATATAGGTCTTATTATTCCCATTTTAAAGATGAGGAAATTGATGTTTTATCATTATCGTTAATAGCATGTATTTTTATATATTTCTTTACATTTTGCATAATGACACCACTTGTTAATTATCACAAATGATATTATCATGATTCCTGTTTTAAAGATGAGGAAACTGAGGTTTGGAAAGATTTGGAAGCTTCCTTGGCCCCATAGCTAACATAAGGGGAACGCTGGTTAATGCTGCTCCTTATTTTTCCTGAGAACACAACAAAACTAAATAAGCCAGAGCTGCAGTGGGAGGAAGCAGAGTCAGACAAAAGAGAGGACTGTCCCACCCTTTCCAACCCCCAAAAGGGAAGGATTTGCCGGATGTTGCCTGGAATGATCAGAAGCATCTATGCAAGGCCTTAAACCTAAAGGAGGCTTTGTTATTACTTTTTTTTTCACTTGGCTGTGTTGAATATGTTCCTGCGTAGAGACAAGATGGACAAGATGACCTCTCCTGGTTTGTCCCCCAGGCTGAGGAGGATGAAATTGCAATGACTCCCTCAGGCAAAATGTAGGTCATCCAGCAATTCCTGGCTCCCACAGCCTCTCCTCTTCCTGCACATCCTCCCCTCACTTTCCACCCCCCTCCTTCAAATAGAAAGAAATCTCAGAAAAAAATGAATTCATATTAGAATCATTTGCTGCAGGGACAGTGATGCTTATGGTTCTATTCTTGGATCAGGAACGAAGGCTCCCCTCTCTTCTTTTTCTCCCCCTCCCTTCCCTTTCCTCCTCCCTGTCTCCTCCCCTTGCTCTCCCAAGGTTTCCCCCTCCTCACTCTCTCTTCTCTCCTTCCCTTCACTCCCCATAAGTTCCAGTTCCCTCCTCCTCCTGTTCCTCCTCCCTCTCCCCTTCTCTCCTTGCTCTCCAAAGTTTTCCCCCTCCTCCCTTTCTTTTCCCTCCTTCTCCTCCCTTTCCTTTTCCCTCCTTCTCCTCCCTTTCCTTCTCCCTCCTTCTCCTCCCTTTCCTTCTCCCTCTCCCCTAACTCTCCCAAGCTTTCACTCTCTTTCCCCCTTCCCTTCACTCCCCTTAAGTTCCCTCCTCCTCCCTTTCCTCTTCCCTCTCCCCTTCCTCCCTTGCTCCCCCAAGTTTTCCTCCACCTACCTCTCTCTTCGCTTCCCTTCTCCCCTCCCTCTTACTCCCCCAAAGCTTTCTCCTCCTCCCCCTTGTGCAGATAGAGTTGCTTTAGCCCTGCAGCTGAGCTGAGAATCTGGGAGAGAGGTTCAGGATGCACATGCATGAGGGGCTCCCTGTGGAGGACCTCAGCATCCCCTGAGTCCACTCTTCGGTACTTCCAGCAGGAAGGCTTGGGAGGCTTCTCCACCCTTGCTTGCGGATGACAGATTAGACCATGGGTTCAGCTAATGGGAGAGCTGGCAATCCAAAGGTTCTTTAGAGAAATCATCTCTCTCCACAGTGAGATGTTTAATTGGTGGGTGGTGTTTTAGAAAATT